AATAAGCATTTTTCTTTACTTTGAGCTCTCTGACAAAAGGTTCAAAGTGTATTACTTTAAAGTGGCAAGGCAGACAAAAAAGCTACTACCTCTCTCACAAACGGCAACTCAAGATCAGGAGAGCCATCCTTAGGACTCACAATGATCTTTCCATTTGGTACAGATAGCAGTTCCCTGTTTACGTTTGTGAAGGTTTTTCAGTCATTTACAAATGAATTTCAAATACTGATTGTATTAAAAAGTATACCATAAGCAATGAACATATTTTTCAGTTATACTGCCTCTCCCTCTTTCCTCAAACTCTCAAAAACAAAAACAAAACAATTAACCTTTCTCCAAAGAGCTGGGATAAACTCAAACTTCGTTTCATTTGAATCCTGCCACAACTGATTGCCCTAAGTATGGTTTTTAAAGCTTCTCCTAAGGACAATAACTCTGGGGTGGGCGGGGGGAAATCTATTATTTTTCAACCCCACATCACAGTCTAGCTTTGTAATTTCTTGTCCAAAGAATTCTATAGTAATAAGAATTCGATAGTAATGCACTAATAAAATATCACTCAACCCATATTTGTTTCAAGAAAACAGCGTCATTATTAATCACATGACAATACACGGACTCTACACTTTTACATTTAAGGTGGATACACAGCGCCCTCTGCTGCACAAGCTGAGTAAACATCAACCAAGTTCAAAGTATTCAAAAACAAAGCATGGGCCAAAAAAAAAAAAAGTCTGGGAAATCCATAATTGCGATGAATATTTTGCATTTTGGAACATTACTCTTGTATAGATTTTGACATTCTCTATATGCAGTGAATCATTTTCTTTCACACGCCCAGAGTTCTTAGCTGGATCATTTTCTATTTAACCTATATTTACAGGGTGGAATAGTTTGTCTGGGGTAAGTCCCCCAAAAATATCAGTGAAATGAAATCTGCATGTCTCCTTCTTCTGCTCCATCCCCCATATCAAAAAACTAGACACAGATGATACAGTGGAAGTCTGATTACAATTCAAAACCACTTTAATCTAAAGCAGAATCTTAGACTCTAAACCTGCTTGTGCTGGCAAATGAGAACAGAAAACAAAGGTATTATGTTTTGCAGAAAAAGAGAAATGTGACTTGATTATCAAAAAATGCTCCATCAGCCATTGAAAGATTGGCTAGTTACATAAGAGAACCCAAAGTTTTCAATTTGAAGGCATAATAAACTCAAAATATACAATGGACAAATCTTCATGATAGTTGAGGCATTTTTAAACTAACAACATTGGAATATATTTCCTGCAATGAGGCACATTCAAAATTAACTTTGAACTATACAAAGTCTATTTATAACATATATGAAATGTAACTTAAAACCGCTTTGAAATACAGACTCTCAGTAAAAATGACTAGAGACACAAAATTTTTTAAAAAATATTTTAAATTGTGAGAAGTTGAGGAATGCATTATACTTCTATTTGTCTTGACATAGTCAGTCTCTCCTTATGGAATCTAATTTCATCCAAACCAAAACTAAAAATTGGAAAACATGTATCTTAGTAAGAAAGATTTAAAATGCTAACTGCATAACGTAACTGGATGAAAGAATTACAGAGCAGTTAAGAAAAAATGAACTGCTGTTTTAACAGGAAAAAAAAGGTGCATCTTATTTATGCACATTTTAGGCTAAAGTTTTGATTTCTAAAAAGCAAATTTGGAGCACCCTCTAGTGGAAAACTGTTAACAAAAGCTTAAAGCTTCTGTTTCTAAGATTTAATTCAATTTCCATTAAACAAGTAACTGAGACCAAAAAAGTACATTACGTAGACTCTTCCTTCTGGTTTTACTCTTAAATACCCCCATTAAAACACGCACACGCACACACACAAATACACATACATGAGGGCACTTTTCAAAGTCCAAGAGAAAAAGTTTTACACTGTTTATCAATTTCCAAAAAAAAAAAAAAAACAAGTAGAATTGCAGATATATTACAGATGTAATATTACTTTTTATATTCAAGAATTTCATTGTAGGGCGAGGTGGCGGGCGCCTGTAGTCCCAGCTACTCGGGAGGCTGAGGCAGGAGGAGTGGCGTAGGCAAGGAGGCGGAGCTTGCAGTGAGCTGAGATCAGCCACCTGCACTCCAGCCTGGCGACAGAGCCAGACTCTGTCTCAAAAAAAAAAAAAAAAAAAAAAAAGAATTTCATTGTAGTTGTAAATGATTACAATCTAGAAACAAATGAAATCATTTTGTTAAGCAATCAGAGCCAGACTCTGTCTCAAAAAAAAAAAAAAAAAAAAAAAAAAGAATTTCATTGTAGTTGTAAATGATTACAATCTAGAAACAAATGAAATCATTTTTGTTGCTTAATTCTTGTGGTTAAAAGATTCCACCAATAAAAAGAGCTAGTGAAAATAACACATGAAACTTTCAAATTACAGCTTTCTCCAAACACACCTTAATGTTTATTTATAAATATCCTCTGCTAAATTAGCAAATCAGCCAAGAATCTCCATGAAAATCCGATTATATTCTTTTGGTCTTGGTTATTAAGGAGATTGACTGGCTTTGACACAGACACGACATCACACATGCAAGTTCTATCAGATGATTCTCCATATGTAATAATTAAAAACTGAATATATGACATTCCAAATTACATAAATTAATAGGGTCATTATATTAATACTTAGACTATTCTTGATGTATTATGTTAAATTATTATCACAATTTGGAGAAATACAAACAAAACAGAAAATGTTTTGAGAGACCAATTTAAAGAGTAACGTAAACATCTGTTTTCTGCAGAAGGCTGAAGAAACTTGAATTATTTAGGCCAGAAAAGAAAAAGGATCATGGAAGAACACAAGTACTTATTCATCATTAATTCAACACTGAATTACTGAACACCTTAGCTAGGTGTTGTTCAAGGTCCGGAGGCATGGGGTAACCCCAACAGACAAAGGTTCCTGCTCTCATGGAACTTGCATCCTGAATGGGAGAAGACAATGATAAGAACTCAACAAGCTCTAGGAGAGCAAGGATTTCTGTCTGTTCTGTTAACTTTGGTATTCCCAGCATCTACTAGGTGTTCAATAAATAGTTGTTGAATTAAACAAAAAAGGTAACTTCAGCTAGTGATAAGTGCTATAAACAAAACAGTAATAAGTAGAGAGCATTGGAGGAAGAGGCAGATATGTTATTACAGATCAAAGAGTTAGAAAGGGTTTCTCTAAAGTTATGCCATTAGAATTTCAACTTAAGTCAGCCCTGCAAAGATCTGAATAAAGAACTTTCCAAAGGCTCTTGTCTGAGGCAGGAGTGGTTTGACATTCAGACAAAAGCCCGCCTGGACAAGCCACAAGGCCCCAGTAAAGAGTTCAGATTTCATTCAAATTGTTTAGGCAACATGTATTGGTTGCTTCAAGTGGGGTGAAAGTAGTAAAAATGAAGAGACAGTAGGTAACTTCATGATCTATTTTGGAGTTGAGGAGTAGACAAGATTTGTTAATAGGTTCGGTATATGAGATGAGGCCAAAAGACATATTAAGAATGACTTTAAGGTCTAGAGCTTGAACAACTGTGTAGGTGATGTTGCTATCTATTGAAACGGGAAAATGAGGTGAGAAGTAGGTTTTAGGTAGGTAGTAGAGGAAAGGATAAACTTTTACAACTGGCCATATATAATGACAATTTCAAGTAAGCAGTTCGATACTTCAATTTGAAGTTAATGAAATGAACTGAGGTAAAAAGCTGTAAGTTTGGAAGTTGTCTGCATAAAGATAAATACATAGGGCCAAAGAATTATCAGGACAAAGGGCGCTGAGAATGATTATCCCACAGAACCCCAAGGGGAAAAGCAAATAATTAAAGGTAGATATTAAAGTGAATTAAGCACACTTTGTAAGAGAAAGGACATTTTAACAATCTAACTAGAGCTATACAGTAAGAGACTAAGCTGCTTGTATCCATTATGGGCTTTCCATAAAAAGAGGCATTTCCAGTATAGCAGCATGTGCAAAACGACCATCTGTAGGATTACTACTAAAGCAATTCTTACAAGGGAACGGACTATCCCTAAATGTTCTTCCAAGGTAACATTTAAAGGAATTTTTAAGACTCTCTGATTTATCTTCACTTAGGTAACTCATCTTTTTTTTTTTTTTTTTAGATGGAGTTTTGCTCTTGTTGCCCAGGCTGGAGTGCAATGGTACGACCTCAACTCACTGCAACCTCCGCCTTCCAGGTTCAAGCAATTCTCCTGTCTTAGCCTCCAGAGTAGCTGGGATTACAGGCATGTGCAGCACACCCGGATAACTTTATATGTTTAGTAGAGACGGGGGTTTCTCAATGTTGGTCAGGCTGGTCTCGAACTCCCAACCTCAGGTGATCTGCCCACCTTGGCCTCCCAAAGTGCTGGGATTACAGGCGTGAGCCACTGCGCCCGGCCACAATTTATCTTGTTAGTAAACAGATTCAGGGGTAAAAACCATGGGCAAATACAATGTATATCTACTGGTAGCCATTAATTGTTACCTGTTTTCGTTAGCAAAAGGTTATCCAGGTGCCTGTCTCCAACTCCAAGTATATACGTGATCACGCAATATCCAGCTGCAATAACAGTTAAAAAAATGTGAAAACAAATGCAAACCAGGTTATACATTCTACTGAATATAAAAGCAGTTTGTGCAACTTTATTATCAATTGTTTTCTAACATCTCTGGTTTCTCATCTAAATTCTCAAATATGCAATCTTTAACTCTGTCACTTGAAACTCAAAGTACTATTTAAAACAGAAAATCTTGCAGAATTCTGTGAAATTACAAAAGTCACTTGCATCAAAACTTAAGTTAGGTTAAGGAGACCTTAATTATAACATGGGCCTAGCAATTCTAATATCAAATTGGACACAGTTAAAGATGACATCAAAAAAGAAGTATCTACAGAAATACACATAATAAAGTCTACTGTCAATTATCTCATAACTCATAACCATGTTATCTATAAGATAACATAAGTAAATGCAGGGTTAAATTTTTTTTAAGTCTGTGGAAAAATAATCTTGACATGGAAGCAGATGGAAAACCAAATGCATTCATTTGAGTGGTAAAGACGTTTATGAAGTTCACGCAATAATCTTCTAAAGCATTAAGAAAAATTATACGATCAAGACTAAAGGCAGAGGCATTGGCTCTAGCTGTATTCTGTTTTCTTTTTCTTCTAAAAAAAAGTCTGAAAATTTAGCATTTATTGAAACTACTTACACAGAATTTAGTAAATAGCACCTTTTTGGAGGTTTTCTTTTTTTTTTTTTTTTTACTATGTTTATTTCTACCATTAATAACCTGACAATAAATACAACTTGTAAACATATAAAACTATAGCAATATTTACCAAAACTTGTTTATTTCAGCCCATGTGTAAAAACAAGACGGGACGACCTGTTAATGAACTTACAACCTTGCTCAAATTCAATAAATAATACGGTTCATTTGACTCAGGTTCTGAAGGCCATTCCAGAAGTCCAAAAGCAACTTAAGCAATGTATCATTATTGGAAAAATAGTATTAATAATAATCACAGTTACAATGTACTGAAGACTAGGCTCTTAGCTAGGCATATCATATTCATCATTTCTAACCCTTTTAATGATGCCAGTTAAGTATGATAACCATCCTTCAAATGAAAAACTTTAGGCTCCAAGAATTAATGGTATTGTCCAAAGTCACTGGGCTGGAATTCATGTCCAATGAAATGTAAGCAAATGTAGATGCATGGAGAGCAGTTTTAAGCAAAGGGCTGACTCAGCTAGGAGGTTAGCCCTTCAGGCCTTTTCTCCTTCCTGTCTAGATTGCAACACGATGACTGTAGTTGCAGCAGTTATTTGAGACCGTTAAGGAAAAGGGCAAGAGAATCACAGAGCCTTCACCTGGCCCTAACCACCTTAAATAGTTGGAACAACAGCAATCTCTTACAACTAGTTTTGTCACAAAAGAGAAAATAAACTCTTATGATTAAGTCACTATAGGTACATTATGTTAACTGCAGCGGAATGCAATGATAACATTTAGTGGTCCACTGAGGAGGACTTAAAGGGTATCTAGATGAAGGGAGAAAAAACTACAGCTTGATGGCCAAATCTGGCTCCTTTCAGTTTTTGTAAAGTTTATTTGAACACAGTCATACTCATTCATTTACATACTGGCTTGAGCATTACAATGGCAGGGTTGAACGGTCACACAAATCATCTGACTTGAAAAGCCTAAAATACTACCTGCAAAGCTTTAGGGAAAAGTCTTACTGACCCTTGATCTAGAGCATTGCTACACAAAATGTGATCCCACAGACTGGCAGTATCACTATCACCTGAAAGCTTGTTAAATATGTAAACTCTTCAACTTTACCTCAGTCCTACTGAATCAGAATTTCTAGTGGCAGCAGCCACAATTCCATTGTAACAAGCTTTCAAAAATTACTATGCACACCAAAGGTTGAGAAGTCTTCTCTAAACTCTAGTGTATTAATGAACATAAGAATCACCTGAAAATCCTGTTAGAATGCAGATTCTGATCACAGAATCAGGGCAAGGCCCAAGATTTTGTAATACAAACAAGATCCCAGGTAAACCCAATACTGTGGGTCCACATATCACACTTTAAGTAGCACTGCTCTAAAACTGCCACAATACATGCAACTTCAAAACTGACTAAAGACTTCCCATTGAAAAATAACTAAGTGACTTACTGAGGGACATGAAATTTGATATCTCTAAAGAGAAACTCAGTAGAGCACCCTGAGAACACATGAGAACTTAGTATACTTAGGTTCTCTAATATGTGATTCTTAGAAATGTAGCTGCTACTCAGGGGTACTAAACTACTGATAACGTGCATATGAAGACAAGAGAAACTCCTGCAATTTTCAAAAATAACATCACTGTACATCAGTGCAGCTGAGTTGTTCAATCCAGACCTACTCACTATTCTCATTTTTTTTAAAATTATAAAGTACAATTGGTTTTTGTCACTATTTAAGTTGCTTAGCTATCTCTACAGAATACTGATTCACCTGTGTTGCAAGTTAATTCTGACCTAATATTTTCATGTAACTAGATATACATGAATTATGCTTAATCCTAATTATAAAGCAAAATATTTATATAAACGACTCATCATCAAATTTGTTTGAGAGTGATATTTCATTGTTACATGGAAATGGAAAATGAATAAGGGTCTTTTGCCCTGCCTCATTGGGTTATGGTCATAAATATGTTGGATGGTCATTCTGATAAATATGTTTAGTCAAGTGAAATATATGTATCGACATATGGTCATATTTAATAGTAAAGATGAAAATTTAGAGTGCTTCAATAGTTTAAAGTGTCAATACTCAGCAGGGCACTTCAAACAAGGCTACATCCTGAAAAACAACAACAAAACATTTGAGGTAAGAATAGGATAATCCTCAGAAACGTTGAGGAGATAATTAATACTCAGAATGATTTGGGCTGGGCGCGGTGGCTCACGCCTGTAATCCCAGCACTTTGGGAGGCCGAGGCGGGCGGATCACGAAGTCAGATCGAGACCATCCTGGCTAACAGGGTGAAACCCCGTCTCTACTAAAAAAAAAATACAAAAAATTAGCCAGGCGTGGTGGTGGGCGCCTGTAGTCCCAGCTACTCTGGAGGCTGAGGCAGGAGAATGGCGTGAACCCAGAAGGTGGAGTGAGCCGAGATCACGTCACTACACTCCAGCCTGGGCAACAGAGCGAGACTCCATCTCAAAAAAAAAGAAAATACACAGAATGATTTAAGATGACCTGAAATACATTTGCTAGAAAATGTTTAGGGAAAATTATTATTTATACAATAAGGAAACACTGTTTCTGTCCAAGAAAATCTTGTTAAAACAATGTTGTTAGGTTTTTTACTCCATGTGAGATGCAAAACATCTTGCAATTGCTTTTATAAAAAAAACTTTGACTTAAAGAAAATTATAAAGACAAATAAACCACAGATCCTATTTCCCTTTCCTTAGTGAAGATGCGTGTGTATGTGAGAATAAACAGTATTCCCACATTTAGCTGCGTGATGCAGACTTGAGACTTTAATCTGGAAAAGATGTCACCCAAACTATTATCAATTGTTTCTTCTTACACCCTGCAAAAACCTTAAAACATTACTTTCTAAAATGGAAGTTACACACAGATTATTGTGTCATACAGGAAGCCATATAGGAAACAGAAGGCTATTCTAGATGAAGAGAAGAGCTGCCATCAAATCAGTTATTGAGGGATGAACACAGGTGAAATGTTGGGAAAAAAGGGAGAAATAAGATGTAATGTGAATTTAACTGTCCTATACGTAAGATAATTTAAATTGCTATTCTTTCCCCATGAAAAAGTCAGCCATATTTTCATTAGCTCTCGGGGAAAAAATGGACCATTATACAAAAGACACAACGGTATGACAATAAGCACGTACCTGTATCCCATTCTGATAATTTTACTAAATGAGCAGAATTTTCAAATTTTAGTCAATATTGACAGGGCAAGTGTATGTGCATGTACTTTGTGTAGAAAAAGTATTTCTTTATTAAACAGATTTATGACTTTAAAAGGTTTACAATAACTATGCTACAAGTAAAAACATAAAAGATAATTATTTGGGGGTATGTAAAACACCTCATGTAATAAGGTACTAAGGGAAATGGCCACAAATTCTGTGACATCCTTTTCATCCAGGGCTTGGATCTATATATATTCTGTCCCCTCACATCCAGGAAGGCTCTAGGACTGCTCTGAACAACAGAATATAACACAAGTGATATAGTACCAACTTCCCAGCCCCAGCCTTCAGAAACCAGTATTTTCCATTTCCTGTCTGTCTGAATATTTGCTCTTAGAACCCAGCTCTGAGAGGCCCAAGCCAGGGACAGGTCATGTGTAGGTGATTCACTATAAGCCTAGCTAAGACAGTGTAATCTGTCAATCGTATGAGTGATCCATCTTGGATGTTCAGCCTAGTTGAGCCTTGAGATGATATGTAATTTTTTAGATCACAGAAAAACATAGACTTGAAGGTCTGAGAAAAACAGAACAGAAAAGGGGCATTCAAAAGAAAGAAGGAAAACAAGAAAGGAGGGAGGGAAGACAGAGAGAAATACAGAGTAAGAGGACAAGGGGAAACATTTTCTCTCAAAACCTTCCGTGATTTTAAGTCTTTAAATACTGCATGTAATCATGTTTATGAGCAAATTCAGTTACATGTAATATATATTTATATTCCTACAGTAAATACAAGAATTAAAACTATAAAAGATTGTAATATATACAAACACAATTTTATTTCCATATTCTCAAACTTCATTTTCTTTCTATTTTTCTCATGCCTGCAATCTCTGCACTTTAGGAGGCCAAAACAGGTGATTGTTCGAGCCCAGGAGTTTGAGACCAGTCTGGGCAACATGCCAAAACCACGCCTCTACAAAAATGCAAAAAAAATCAGCCAGCTGTGGTGGTGCACACCTCCTACAGTCCCAGGTACTCGGCAGGCTGAGGTGGAAGAATCACCTGAGCCTGGGAGGTCCAGGCTGCTGTGAGCTGTGATTGCGCCACTGCACTTTAGCCAGCCTGGGTGACAGAGTGTGACCCTGTATCCAGGGGAAAAAAAAAAAAAGAAAGAAAGAAAAAGAAAAAAAAGAAAAAACAAAAGAAAATGAAAAAAAAAACTCCTCTAGAATATAAGCTTCATGAAGTTAAGCATAAATGCCCGAAGAATAAAAATTAATCCCTATGTCACTTACTATATATATCTAGGAAATACTACTACTGCTTACTTATTTCTAGGAATGGACCATAAGAACTGACTCTAAAATACCATGAGGGCACCCTCTTAATGAAGCACCATTATCTTAGCTTTTAAACTTTATCTAAAGCACAATTATTTCTGATTGAGACTTTTCCCGTGGTCTACTTAGTTTCTGTTAGTCAAAAATGGAGAAAATCTAATGGAAAATTAACAGCTTCCAGGAAGAGATAAATTGCAATTATAAAATAGTTCAGTGATTGCAAAGATATATCCCTGAAGACTAAATACAATTTACATCTTGTTACTACTATTATGTCAAAGCATTAATGACTACTTTAATCAACATTTATCTTTTACTCTTCCTACAGAGCATTTAAATATTAACATGTTCTAAATGTTTATGATTATGGCAGTATCAGGATGGCCTGCTCTTCTTTATTTGATCAATGGAAAGTAACAGCCTGAAACACTTACCACAGCTTTTAACGTAGGTGTCCATGACCTCAGCACTAATCCCATTTGGCCCATTCTCACTTGGTGCATATTTTCTAAAAAAGTTCTGAAAAGACAAACAAACAAATTAGGTGTTTTGAAGCTATAAATAATGACCAACAAGTGTCTAGTATAAAGCTTAATCAAAATACAGTATGAGAAACGCTGACTGAACAAAAGAATTGTAAGAGTACAATAAATACACTAGAGTTTCCACTAGGGGAAACTGTGTATAATGCACCCCTCCCGTGCTCAACCCCAGATTACCAATTGCACCTATTCTTTTACATTTAGAGGCAAAAAACAAACAAAAAAAAACACCACAGAGCATATTATCTGAAAATACAATTAACGTACTATTAGAAAATGAGTTTATCCTGGCCAGAGGTGGTGGCTCACGCCTGTAATCCCAGCACTTTGGGAGGCCAAGGCGGGCAGATCACAAGGTCGAGAGATTGAGACCATCCTGGCCAACATGGTGAAACTCAGTCTCTACTAAAAATAAAAAAAATCAGCGTGGTGGCGGGCACCTGTAGTCCCAGCTACTCGAGAGGCTGAGGCAGGAGAACTGTTTGAACCTGGGAGGTACAGGTTGCAGTGAGCCGAGATCACGCCACTGCACTCCAGCAAGGAAACAGAGCGAGACTCAAAAAAAAAAAAAGTTTATCCTATGTTTTCACCTATTTTGAATACCCTGTATTCTGACAAAGGATTTGCATCTGGAATATATTTTAAAAATTCCTATAAATCTATACAAAAAATATAAACAACACAACAGGAACATAGGCCATAGGAAGATGCGAACATGCACTTCACGGAAGAAACAAATGGCCTATACATAAATTTTCATATGTTCAACCTTACACATAATCAGGAAAATGCAAACAAACCAAAATGAGATACGAAGAATTTGAAGTTTGGCAACACTACGATTTTGGCGAAGATGTGCAGCAAGGAGAAACACAAGAAGTGTTACAGTTTTAGAAAACAACTTTTAATTACTGAAAAACAACTTCTAATTATCAAGTAAAGCCGAATGTGATCTATGATCCAGGTAAATGACTTACACAGATCAGATGTGCAGCCAAGAGTCAGTATACAAACTGTCACCATTTTCATTTTATAAAATCATAATTACACAAAACAACATAAGTAATCAAAAACTTTACGAAACAACGTTGGCAATTAGGACCCATGCTAAAAACTTTAAGTACACTTCATGTCCTCTTCAGAACAATCCTAAGAGTAATATGGGTTATTACGGAAATTTTACAGATGCAAAAACTGTGTCTTGAAGGGTATGTTAAAGGGGTCCCCAGGACCACTGACAGGTTTGACTTGTTAGAAGGTCTTACAGACTAAACATGTAGTTGTATCATGACCAAGATTTGTTACAGAGAAAGGCTACACAGTAGAATCAACATGGAAAACACACACAGAAAAAATCTGGAGAAATTCATACACAGGCATCCTAGCCCTCTCTGTCCTGTGAAGAGACACAGTGAGCTTCTTTTCCAATAGCCAAAAATAAAAATTAAAAAGCAGTAACATTAGTGCAATGTTTCTGATAAGGGAAGCCCATTAGACTTAGAACCCAAGGTTTTAACGGGAACTGGTCACCCAGGCAACCTCTGTCAAGCAACTAAAAAGTTCCAGACTCCCAGAAGGAAAGCAGGTTGTTTAGTATAAAGCATATTATTTGAACAATCTAGGCACAGTGAACCACCCTTATCGATTAGGAAGCAAAGGGAACATGCTGAAAGCCAGTGACCAATCTCCTGGCAAGCAGGCCTTTCCAAAGGTAGCCACCTTAGGACTACTATGTTAACTCTTCTCTGCAGAAAGAGTTAACCAGTTCACTCAAGGTTACAGAGCTGGAAAGTAACATGGGTGGAATTCAATCCTAGGCAGTTTGATGTCATAAGCCTGAGCTTTTAACCACTGCACATGACTGTACCCCAAATCAAAGAACAGAATAAGCACTTGCTTTGCAAAAGAATCAGAGTAATACTTTTCTACAAATCTGACTCCCATACTGAATAAATGGAACAATTAAATAGGGACAGGCAAAAACACGCTGTATCAAATATCTTCTAGCAAGCCCTTCTATGTTGTTTCTTTCATCTCGGGTGTATCAATTTTTGTTTTAATTACACACCTTTTTTTTATATAGGGAAGCAGGAAAATTATATTTAAAAAAAACAAAAATAAACCATTAAGATGTTACAAGAACTAATCCATGTATTTAAAGGGTAAAAAAAAAAAAAAAAAAAAAAAAAAAATCCAAACATATTCATTACTTTGTCACAGGAACCACTGACCTTTTCTCATATTTAAAGGGGAGCAACAGGTTGCAGGGAGAGGACAGGGGTCTTAGATAATTGTACAAAAGACAGATAAGCAACAATATCATTGTGGTAGTGTTCTGAGTAACAAAAACTGGAAATAAAGTATCATCAATTAATATCAAATAAATTACAATGTTTCCATTCTTTGGAATATAATGCAAGTACAAACATTAACAAATTTTAATTTGTTCACCAATTAACTCTGGTGTTTTTTTTTTTTTTTGGACACAGAGTCTCACTCTATCACCCAAGCTGGAGTGCAATGATGTGATCTCAGCTCACTGCAGCCTCCACCTCCCAGGTTCAAGCAATTTTCCTGGCTCAACCTCCCAAGTAGCAGGGACTACAGGTGTGTGCCACTGTGCCCAGCTGATTTTTGTGAGTTTAGTAGAGACAGGGTTTCACCATGTTGGCCAGGCTGTGTTCACCAATTAATGCCTGATCCCTTGACACACAATGCATTGTTCAAGGAACTGAGTATCTGTAGGTAACAAATGGAAGAATCTTCAACTGCAAACATGCTTACTTCTGAATAAAGGAACAAAAAAACTTGAAGAAAGAAAAATGATAAAAGGAGACTTTCATTTTTAACTCTATGTTATAAAGACTGAATTTTTCATGACAAGAATATATTCATGAATTGCATAATCTTTATTGATACCATACCTGAATGCTTCCCTCTGTATCAAGAACTTCAGCCACAGGAACTGACTGGATAAACTGCATGAAGCCTACACAGAAATGTATGCACTGCATTAAGCATAGCTACTGGTTAAGAAAGAAAAATAAAGGTTCTGCTAAGAATAATCTTCATCTATGAATAAATGCATTCCATATCTGAACAACTTAAAAAGATCTATGTACACTATATTAAGTTTGTACTGGCATTTATGTCATACGACCTATAAGAAAACATTAAAAAAAAATTAAGCTGATTTAAGTCTATATGTTTCTCTAGGCTGATTTCTATTATAAAACATGAGGAACGAAAACTAATAGTAAGCTTCTTAAATCTAGCATCAAAAATTTCTTCTTTCTATAGATTTACAACATATACCAATTAAAATATTCCAAATTTAAAATCACCATAAGAAATCTAGAATTGTGGATTACAATCACTTAACCCTAAAAGCTGCATGTAAAACCGTATGTAATGGCTCCTTTTGTCTAATATTCCATCTTCTGTCATTTCTTGGTAATGACAGATGTGTAAATCCCTTAAACTACCAAAAAAAACCAAAAGGGAAAGGGGACAGACAGTATGTGGGAGAAGAAGAAAAAGTCAGTCTGATAAATCTGAAGACAAAAGAAACATAAAACAATGGATATATTTAAAAAATAAAAGTTGGATAAAGAAAACAATATTTCAGGATCATAAACTATCATGATCTGGTTCTGGTAAGCCTACAGGACAATAATTTGCATGCAAATTAGGAGATTATATACCCCTGTAGAGTAAGAAATATCTCATTTATTCTTGCATCATAAATACAGAATAGTTGGCACTAATTCACTTAACAGGTATTTATTGTTTCTTGACCATGTCGGAAGAAATTTGCCAAGTAAGTAAAAATAGATGCTTGACGCTGCCTACATGGATCTTAAAGCTTACAAGCTTCACTGGGGTAAATACTATGAATAAAGGGTACTATGAAAGGAAGTAGTGTAAGGACACCTAACTTACAGTAGGGATCGAAGGACATCTGACATTTGAGTCATGTTTTCAAGGATAATAAAGTTAGTAGGCCATGGAGACAAGAATGTCTGAGACAATGATCACAGTGTATGTGAAGGCCTTAGAGCACAATGCATTAGATAAAACAGAAGGTAGCCAGTATGGCTAAAGCCCAGGATGCAGGGGAAGAGTGGTAAAAAGAAGAGGCTTGAAAGATAGATATAGGGTGTGTCACACTATGCAAGCACTTAGAAGCTAGGTAAAGGTTTTTGGGGTCTTTGTCCCAAGAGAAAATGAAAGCTAATAAATGATTTTTTGCAGGATCGTAAAGATGCACTTTTTGCACTTTTTAAAAGATCATTCTGAGAAAAAACTGAGAAGACTAATTAAGGCATCAAAAAGATTTGGGAGTGGCCAGCGGAAGGATAGGAAACCTAAAGCATATATTTTGTTTCTCAGTAACTACTAGTATAAAGTAGGAAGGATAGCAAGACTATGGAATTTACAGTAAGCATTAGGCAAGCATTCCTAGGGAATCTTCTACCAAACTTCCCGAGATTATTCATCTCAAAAAGACTCAGATGGTTTGTGCGTGTGTGTGTGTGTGTGTGTGTGTGTGTGTGTCTACAGGATTGTCAAGAATGTTTGAAATTTCCTGTTTCTCAGTAACTACATTAACCAGTAGTTAAATTAACCAGTAGTTACTGAGAAACAGGAAAGAAGGAAAGACAGAAAGGAGGCAGGCAGGAAGGTCCAACTTGTCTTCAGTACTACAAGTGTAAATTATTTGTATCTCTAACATACTTAAAAATTTTCAATTTGAAAAAGTACACACAATGTACACTAAAGTAAAATAATGATGTAAAATACACTTACCATGTTTTGTACTGGTGGCTAACACCTTATAAGGTGTCAATTTCAAGTCCAGATTTTCTTTCCGTAACAGCTTTTAATCAAAAGATAAAATATATTAACCAAATGTACAGACTGTTAAAAGACACTTTTGTGGGCAAATAGTATAGCAGTTTTATATAATACAGATTTAGGAAATTAACCTAAATTAAGTTTAAATTAGTTAATTTAGGCCTGGCACAGTAGCTCACGTCTGTAATCCCAGCACTTTGGGAGGCCAAGGCAGGTGGATCACCTGAGGTCAGGAGTTCAAGACCAGCCTGGTCAACATGGTGAAACTCCGTCTCTACTAAAAAATACAAAAAAAATATTTTTTAGTGGTATTTACTGGGTGTGGTAGCGTATGCCTGTAGTCCTAGCTACTGAGGAGGCTGAGGCAGGAGAATTGCTTGAACCCAGGGGGCGGAGGTTGCAGTGAGCCAAGATCACATCACTTCATTCTAGCCTGGGCAAAAACCAAAACTCCATTTCAAAAAAAAAAAAAAAAATTAGTTAATTTAACTTTGATCATCAAAATTAAATTTATTAAGGACTCAGATGATGGTATGCCAAATTTTTCATCTACTCTAAATCTCTGTTAGCAGTTTTCAATGAACAATAGGGTTGTTCCTATCACTTCCTGCAGTCCTTTCTGGCCACAGAGTACTTCAGACCTCAGTAAAAGGGAAATAGGGCAAACATGTACTTTTTAATGCCAGGGATTAAAAAGATGAAAAAAAAAAAAAAAGATTTAATAGACTAAGAGGAAGAAAACTACTAAATCCTATCTTTAGAGAACTTAATTTGGAAAAAAAAATTAATGGAACATATGCAGTTCCACTTTACACTCAACACAAAAGCCATTCTGAAGTGTATAAAAGCAACTAAACTTTTTCAAGGTAAGGAGAGACTGTTGAGCTTTCTAGGATCGTACCTGAACGTTACAAATACTTGTTTCATAAACAGCAAATGTACTAAGCCACAGTCTTCCAAAATGAAAAAAATGTTCCCCACCAACATAAGGTCATGTTCACCTTGTCCATGAGTGAAATGATTTGAAGAATAAGTTGATCTTGACGTAAATCATCTCCATGCTTAAATATAACTGGATATTTGCCTCCATCTTCTGTCTTAAAAAACAACTGTGCAGGCATAAGGGCACTCTGGAAAATAAAAATATTGATTTCAAATTTGGCCATGAATTAATGCATATAGGTGTATTATACATACAAGAAAATGTTGATATATAAGATAAATACACAGGTAAACAGGACCTAAAAAACAAGTTGGGTTTTCAGTGAGATACATTAGGGTATCTTGGAAAGAACAGTGAACCAGCTAATTGTCAGAAGACTACATGATAGAAGGCGCACAATCTCTGCAATCAGTCACGTGGTTAGAACACTGCAAGCTCTGCCACGTACTTGCTGAACAGTCCTGTGCATATTCTTTGTCTCCTCATTTGTAAAACAAAGATAGCATCTCGGCTGCAGAGTTGCTAAGGCAATCAGAAACTGTAAAGGTCTGGCATCATGCCTAATACAGAGATGACATTCTATATATACCTATCATCATTTTCTATTTTTAGAGGTATACTGAAATAAATAAGGTGAAACCGTATAGCATAACAACGTACCAGATGTAAAGTCAAGAGCCCTGGTTTTTAATGGCAAGTACACCACAGCTTGAGTATTCCATAACAGAAATGCTTGCAAAAGTTTGGGATTTTGGACGTCCCTGGATTTTGGAATATTTGCATATACATAAATAAAATATTTGACGGATGTGACCCAAGTTTAAACTTGAAATTCAATTACGTTTCACATATACCCTATACACATAAAGTAATTTTACACAATATTTTTAGTAATTTTGTGCTTGAAACAAAGTTCTGACCATGTTTTGACTGTAATGCATGACATAAAGTCAGCTGGAGGATTCTCCACTTGTGGCATCATGTCAGCACTCAAAAAGTTTCAGATTTTGGAGAATTTTAGATTTTGGATTTTTGGATTAGAGATGCTCAATCTGTACTAGTTGTGCAGCTTTAAGACTCAAATTCCTCATTTATAAAATGAGAAGAGGTCTCAAATACCTGTATCTTTTATTCTGGAATAATTTTATGTTTTCCCCAGAGTCCTTCCCTTAATTATATGTAGGTCTAAATTAGTTTAGATATATGTTTAAGTCAACAACAACAAAAAAAAAATAAAGAAATTAAATTCTCTTTAGAAAGGGAGACCCATACAAAACCTCACATAAAGTGGCATGCTAAGATGGATAGTCTGGACAGAAATGGTTAGAAAATTGTTCTGAGAGAGAGAGACCCTATTGAGTTTGGTCATCGAGAAGAAATTATATAAGACAAAAATTTGGAGAAACATTAATCCAGAGAAAAAAAAATGAGTCAAACAAATTTAAAAACAACAACAACAACAAAAAAATGGTAATAACCAAGAGAAATAATGGCGCAAAAAACATCATGCAGAAGGATGAACAGATGTGACAAAACAAATGGCAAAATGTTAACGACAGAATTAAAGTGGTAGATACACAGTTGTCTACTGTAAAATTCCTTCAACTTTGCTGTATGCTTGAAAACTTTCCTATAAAATGCTGGGGAAAAAAAAACATGGAAAATGGTTCAGAGAATGTATGTTTAAAACTTACAAACTCTAGATGGAATTCTGAACTTTAAATTACTTTAAATTTGGAATATCCTTTTATCACTCCCGGTGAAAATGTTATTTTATAAATTACCTTGAGCCCTAGTAATTGGAAATCTTCCTAAAGATAAATGACAGGTAGGAGAATCTTTGTTGTGATTTCTTTTTCCAGATTCAATTAGATTTCATCTAATTTAGATTTCGTCTGAAATTTAAAGCAAGAAGACAACCACAGGATAACTAGCACTTATCCCACTGCCGTAAGGGGTCCACTCCTCATGAATATTCAGCTTTGGCTGTTACATTAAAGTGTACAAAATTACTTTTAAAACTACTAGAAATAAGGGTCCTTAGTCTTTTCAGCTCTAAGGAGCTCACACAAGGACAACAGGAGTCCACAGATCCTCTGCAAGTGTATGCAGAAATTTCAGTGTATTTGTAAGCATATCGGCAATTTTCTAAAGTGCATAATCCACCACTTTCATTAGATTCTCAAAGGCATCCATGAGCCAAAGTAGCAACTCTCTCTACATAACTAATATTATATAGCAACTGCCTCAGAACCATTATTCCTGAACTCCAACTCAAAATTTTTAAGAATGCCCATATACTTAAGAGTTGAAAGAAAAATAATCAAGACTGAATATTCAGGTCAAAAAGATATCCCATATTTTATGTCATAAGACATAATTATAATATGTTATAATTAAAAAGAGTATGAGTCTAGAATCCACCTACCAATAGAGGGAGATACATCTTCTTATACTCCACTCTTAAAACCCCTGCTATATGTCTTAGATACTCTTATCTACCATGGTTGGAAAAAAATGGTAAAATTACTTTTTTGATTCACTGCTCTTGATGAGTCCTTAGTGTTCAAGAATATTAGAAGCTGGTCTTCTTTGGGAGTTCTAGCTCAAAGGAATGCCAGTTGTTATATGTATATTACCTTGTGTATAGCTTTTTACATTTCAGTCTCCAGTAGATTGCAAGCACAGACTAAAAAAATTTGCACGGTATCTCCTATACCAGTATTTTCAAATTGCATATAGTAATACCAGTATTTTTAACTTGCAGGTTGTAATCTGTTAGAGAGTTTTAAAACCAATAGGTTATAAGCAACATTTAAAATTAAAGCAACAGAATGACATTTAAAATAATAGAAACTATCCGTCCATAACACCCAGTTAAGGTTAGGCATTGCTTTATGAAACTTATGTTTTGGTTGTTATGAGCTGGGCTGCAACCCATGACCAAATACGAGGCTGCCTTGAAACATACCTTTTTAAAAAATATGAACTATTTCCTACTATAATTACACCCCTGTGTATATACATTAGTTGTCGTTCTATGAGCCCTTTCTTAACTCATGTGAAGTTAATATTCAATGCAACTACGCCTTTCTACCACTAGAACCACAAAACATAAAACACCATGTCTCACAAAGATCTTTCAGTATGATGTTGACAGATAATGATGCTCTGGCCTTTGGCCCTTTGAGCCTGATTAAAGGCAGCTGCATCAGCTGTTTCTACCTGAACTGGTGGCCAGTCAATAGAAAAAACACCAAGCCTGGTATGCTATTAAGGACTAAAGAGAATTGCCACGTGAAAATACAAGAAAAAACTTAAGGTTCCATAAGAGGAACAGATGTCAGACTGAGAAATGTTAAAAAGGTCAACTGGGACTCGTATCTAACCATCTGAACTCATGAACTGAATGAATGCATGATATGTCTACAATTTGCCCTGTAAAAAAAAAAAATGTTTACATAAAGAAAAATAGTTATGGATCTGATTAACAATTAGCTCAAAAAATTAAATATTATGTTGGGTATAGTGGCGCATGCCTGTAATCCCAACACTTCGGGAGGCTGAGGTAGGAAGACTGCTTGAAGTCAGGAGTATGAGACCAGTCTGGATAACAAAGTGACGACTCATCTCTACAAAAATAAAACAATAAAAAAATTAAATATTAAAAAACAACCCAGAGATATAAAAGTCTTTCACATATCATATAAAAATGCCCATGTACTATAACAAAAGAAGATCTTAAATCAAACCACACTGATAAATAAAAGGTACCCTTTGATCTAGCATTTACTAAATCAACTAGAATTATAGAGGTGATCTCTGCAATGTAGTAATTTTCCAAGGTAGTATCTCTGATCTAGTTTAAGATTTAGGTTCCAATCATACACATTAAATATCCATCACAATTACTTTAAACAGTGTAGCTGTTTCCGGAATTATTCCTCTAATTTTCACTTGGGGTTCTAAAGGCAACGGGATAAGTTCCACATCTGACAAATTCATCTTTTCATTATCTCCAAGCAACGCCTGTAGTCTCTCATTCTAGAACAAATCAGAAAGGATTAATTAGGTTAAAATAGAAGAGTAGTTCATAAAACATACAGTAAAGACATAAAAATTGATTCTATTAACTTAAAAATATTTGCAGAGCACCAAAGTAATATAAAGGACATGGTGTTGTATGTGAGAGAAAAGCACGTATAAATAATCCCTAACAACAGCAGTAGCATGCTTTAAACCAAACAATCCCTAACTGTGAAAGGCTGGACTTTCACAAGAAGGACAGAGAATACATTTCACTTGCTAAAGCTGACAAAGAATCAGGAATTTAGCCGGGCGCGGTGGCTCAAGCCTGTAATCCCAGCACTTTGGGAGGCCGAGACGGGCGGATCACGAGGTCAGGAGATCGAGACCATCCTGGCTAACACAGTGAAACCCCGTCTCTACTAAAAAATACAAAACACCAGCCGGGCGAGGTGGCGGCGCCTGTGGTCCCAGCTACTCGGGAGGCTGAGACAGGAGAATGGCGGGAACCCGGGAGGCGGAGCTTGCAGTAAGCTGAGATCCGGCCACTGCACTCCAGCCTGGGCGGCAGAGCAAGACTCCGTCTCAAAAAAAAAAAAAAAAGAATCAGGAATTTATTCAAGTTGGACCTAAAGATTCAACTTCTGTTTCCAAGGACTTGTGAAGCCACAGAGAGAAACTGAAATTTCATTCAAAGTTTAATCTTGCATGACCAAATATTAAGCAAAAATTTCATTAGGCTGCCCCAGTGCATTTTTTGAGATTAAAAAGGAAACTTAATTCACTTGGAGGAACTATAACCCTATTTTCTAACTTTCACTGAGTCTGTATGGTCAAACTTTTCCTAGGATATCACCATTCATTTTCTTCAGCTCATATACATAATGCATTAAGCTAATATTTCAGAAACTAAGAAATCCAAGTCATGATGAAACAGCTTCATCATTAAGCAACATCTATACTATTTCGAAGAACCCCTTCTATTAAATTTCAAAAGAACAATCAATTTCCTTTAAAAGCTGGGAAAGTCTTGCAATCTTGAGGGGCAGGGCTTGCTCACCTAAATAGGTGAGTTTGTTCTTCAAGAGGGAAAACTCGACATGACGATCCCAGCAGCATAAAACACTTCAACTATGATGCTACTGGGAAGCTGAAGTGCTTTGTGCTGCTGGGTATGCCTCAAAGGAGAGAACTCTGGAATCAGTGAAAGAAGTTCATAAAAAATAATATGTTTCAAGGACAAAGAAGATGTAAAATTAAATTATTTCCCTTCAGTAATAATCCCATCTCCTCCTGAATGATGAAAAGTTCAAGTTAAAATCAACTGAAAATCAACTGGTATGAATTTCTACATAAGTGTTACAAAAATCACTAAATCTACTCCTTAACTAAATGGATGGTCAGATCTACTAATGTAAAGTAATATCAACTAATTTGAGAGTAAAGTTATCCTAGCTTAACAAATTTCTAGTTGATGTGCTGATTAAAATAAATAAATAATCAGAAAGTAAAATAAGAACAGGGTGAGAAATCTAGCCACTTCTTACCACCTCTACCACTATAAGCCCTAAGAACCCAACCACCATGATTTCTCATCTTGATTACTGCAATAGCCTCCTTTCTGATTGCTCCTCTTCTTCAAACTTTTCACTCTCCTAGTTTATCAAAAGTAACCAGAGTGCAGCTGCTAAAATGAAAGCCAGTTCACATTACCCATCTATTCAAAATCTCCAACAGCTTCTACTCTTACTCAGTGTTCCAGTCAAAATAATATTGACTATAATGATTTACAAGGATAAATTTCATCCATTTCCCAATTATCTCTAACCTCATCACCTATTACTGTACCCATTCCCTCTGCTCCAAATACACTGGGTTTCTTCCTACTTCTCAAAACTGCCACACATGCTCCCACCTCTGGGGCTGTGCACTGCTATTCCCCTGGCTGGAACAATCTTCTCCAGAAGACCAGCTTGCTTTCTTACATGCTTCAGGTCTTTGTTCAAATGTCAATTTCTCAGGGAGGCCTTAACCTGGCCACTCTCTTAAGAAGTGATACACTGCCTTACTACTGGACACAAGTACTGCCTATTCCCCCTTTCTGTTTTACTTTTCTAGATAACACATAACACGATCTAGTACACTACACACATTTTACTTATTTATTGCATTTACTCTCTTTAGTGAGAATATGATCCCCATAGGCGAAGAGATGTTTATACTCACTGCTGTATCCCAAGAACCTAGAAAAGCGCTCTGCTCAGAGTAGGCATGCAATACATATTTCATATTGGTAGAACACATAAATGTGTAATATCCCCTAAAAAAATCATAAAGTGAAGAGAGACTACTTATAATATTAACAGTGAAAGTGTTAATATATTTTAAACGTAGATGGAAAAGATGGCCAGGCGCAGTGGCTCATGCCTGTAATCTCAGCACTTTGGAAGGCCGAGGCTGGCAGATCACTTGAGGTCAGTTCGAGATCAGCCTGGCCAACATGGTGAAACCCCATCTTTACTAAAACTTAGCCAGGCGTGGTGGTGCACACCGGTAGTCCCAGCTACCGGGGAGGCTGAGGCAGGTTAATTGCTTGAAAATGGGAGGCAGAGGCTGCAGTGAGCCGAGATCATGCCACGGTACCACGGTACTGCAGTCTGGGAGACAGAGCAAGACTCCGTCTCAAAAAAAAAAGTAGATGAAAAAGGCATTTTATTAGAAATCAAATATGTAGACTCAGACCTCTTCTAACATAATTTTTCCTAAACTAGAGATCAACAAAGGAAAGAAGACAACAACAATATTATCATTTTCTTCACTCATCTGACACTTAGGTATTACTCTGCCACAGATCTAACACTGCTATACCCACTGTGATATAGCTCTCGCAAATAAATTATGAGGGATGAAAAAGTGCTACATATGATTTTATATGATTAGTGGCTATTTCAATATTACTAGTATTAATGCCAATAATGGTAGTAGAGAGCTCTCTCTGCATTTCTTCATGGTGCCAGGGCTTGTTTCTAGTAAATATATGTAAATAAAATTAAGTTTTTTACCGTATCATGATAAAATGCCTATAAAGATTTTCAGCCAATATGGAAACTGTATTTGGGATGGTCTGGCTTAAAATATATGCTATGTGAGAAACACAAAATTTATTTGGGGAGACTCTGGGTGATGTCTCAAATAGGTGGTCAGCCTCCAGAAGAGCTAAAACTGAGGTGTTGCCAAGGTTCCTGTGTCTGCTAAATTGAAGAGCTCCTGGCACTAAAACAAACTGGTTTCAAATATAAGCCCCAAACTGCAGGTCAGAGCAGCAGACACTCCCTCTGCTGGTGGGCATTTGAGAATCACACTGTTTCCCACACAGGCACCTCTGGGGAGAGGCGCTACAGGGGGAACAGCAGTAGAAATGTATTTATTTGACCAAGGTTTGTGATTCTTCTCAACAACAAAGAAAATGTCAACTCAACAGAACTGTGTTTCCTCTCAGCCTGTTTTCCCCTCTCTAACCTGCTAAGCATTACTCATTACTACTTCTACACGGCTCTGCTAGCATTTCTCTTTAGACCTGATTCTTTGCCTTTGAACCACTGACTCAAATCTTCATCTTTTCCTCCCCTCTCTGCTTTCCTTTAAAAGTTTAAAGAACAGTAAAATGTGTTGTTTCACAAAGGTCACCAAGAAAGGCCTGCCAATTATCTAATGGAATTAGGAAAACATACCAAGTGAATCCTTCATATCATTTAGGCTACTGATCAGAAAAAATGACAGGTGAAGAACTCATCTACTTCTACCCATCAAGTGGAAACCTCATAGTTGAGAGAAAGCCTGATGTACTAGCCAGGAGAGAAGAGATACAAAGCTAGTGTTGTTACTAACAACCAGTTCTGAACCCCTGGGCAAGTTACTCTGGACTTTTGTTTTCTCAGAAGAGTTCTAGTCTAAATGATCTCTACAGATTCTTTCCATATCAAATATATTGTATATTCTAATTTGCTAAAATGAGAGGTGGTAAAGCACTGTGGATAACAATATGGACTAAGAATGTCTGAGTACAAATCCCCACTCCAATATTTACTAGCTGTATGACATTAAACAAATTAATTGACCTCTCTTTACTTTCTTCTCCTCACAATTGGGATAATAATAGGTCCTAACTTATAGGGTTGTTACAAAGACTAAATATCATATCAATATATATAAACTCATATACCATTCCTATTACTATAATTTCATGATAAGAAGTTCACATAATATGCCGGGCGCAGCGGCTCACGCCTGCAATCCCAGCACTTTGGGAGGCTGAGGCGGGTGGATCACCTGAGGTCAGGAGTTCGAGACCAGCCTGACCAACATGGTGAAACCTCATCTCCACTAAAAATAGAAAAATTAGCTGGGCATGGTGGCGGGTGCCTGCAATCCTGGCTACTCGGGAGGCTAGGGCACGAGAATTGCTTGAACCCAGGAGGCAGGGGTTGCAGTGAGCCAAGATCGTGCCACTGCAGTCCAGCCTGGGCAACAGAGTGAGACATTGTCTTAAAAATAATAATAATAATAATAATAATAATAATTCACATAATATATCAACCTAAAAAGACAACAGTGAAAATTCAGTATTTTCTGATGCTAAGACGCTATTAAATTATGAACAAAAGCATACCCCATAGGCATACCTTTTTCTTACGATTTCCACTTTCACGTTGTACTGCCTTCATTAGATGCACCAACCGATCTACAAATGTCTGTTGTGCGGCCAGCAAAGAACGCATAACTCTGACAGACTTATCACCCTGAAGGGTTCAAAGTGAGAAAAAATTAGTTCTATGTAGCGTAATGATCAGGGTTTCTTTAACAGCATGGATAATTCTTATTTATATTTCTCATAGCTGTAAACTTAAATAGAAAGCAAAATTGAAAAACATTATCTTGATTCAAAAACAACGAGAAACCTGTATCTTAGTTACTGACAACACTAATCCATCCACAACTGAAAATTATCTGAGTCTTCAGCAAATACTGGTCTATCTACAACAGCATTTTTTTTCCCCACATAAACCATGGACAAGATGGAATTCATTCATCCTAAAATACATTCACTCATTATTTGATTCAATAAATATCCAATGGCTTTTGATGCAGAAATGTGCTGGACATATATACATAAATATGGCAGAAACAAAGATATAGGTCTTCAAGGAACTAAAAATCAACTTTAAAGAAAAGAAAATTTCAAATAGCACCACAATATGTGCTTAAAATATAAGTCATAAAAACTAAATGCTATACGGTCTTATGTAGTGATTCCTAGTTCATAAAATATTATAAAATACATTTCTAATTTAGTCTTCCCAATTACCCTGGTAAGGGAAGCTGGGTAAATGTTATCATCCTCACTTCGAAGATGAGGAAATTTAAACTTGAAGAAACTGAAGTGTCTTCACAGGGTGACAAAGGCTGTAACAGAAACGAGATTAGAAGAGAGGACCAAGGGCTTATTTGCCAATCAGTTTGATGTTGAGAAGCTCTGGGAATGAATACAAAAGCTTAGTCTCAAAGTGTTTAATAAGATGTGATTTAAATTTTTAAAAGCACAAAACATGCAACAGATGAAAGATGCCATGAAATAGACTATTTCTGCGGCAAGTCCCAGATTAATGTGTGGCAGCTTTCTTTTCACTGCCCTTGCACCCTCTGCTGGCCGAACTGTGACACTGCTTTAAGAATCAAAAGAACACAGGAAAAATAAATCTCTTTTAAAAGCTGTTGAAAAGGCAAAAATACGTTATATAAAAAGTATCTGCAATATGACCATTGCCAGATTTCTGGAAATATACACAGCTTTGATAAGAAAGATACACAACAGAAAGGAAAATAAAAAAGCAAAGCTCTTTCTTTTTTAACTCCATGTACAGGTTTATTTCATTAAATTAGGGATCAAGAAAACTTCTATAAAGGGTCAAAGATAACATATTTTAGGCCTTCTTGGCCACGCAGTTTTCATTCCAACTATTAAACTCCTATTGAGTATAAAAGTAGCCACAGACAATATAAAATCAAATGAGTTCATGATTCTATTCCAATAATTTATTTATGAACACTAAAACTTGAATTCACATAATTTTCATGCATCATAAATTATTTTTCTTCTTTTGATTGGTTTTCAATCATTTAAAAATATAAAAACCAGGTCGGGTGCAGTGGCTCACATCTGTAATGCTGGTACTTTGGGAGGCCGAGGCAAGTGGATCACCTGAGGTCAGGAGTTCCAGAATAGCCTGGCCCAACATGGCGAAACCCTGTCTCTACTAAAAATACAAAAATTAGCTGGACATGGTAGTGGGCGCCTTTAATCCTAGCTACTCAGGAGGCTGAGGCAGGAGAATCTCTTGAACCCGGGAGGTGGCGGCTGCAGTGAGCCGAGATGGCATCACTGTACTCCAGCCTGGGTAAGAGAGCAAGATTCCGTCTCAAAAAAATAAAAATAAAAAAAATATATAAAACCACTTTTAGCTCATGGGATGTTCCAAAACAGGCAACAGGCTGAATTTGGCCCATGCACTGCAGTTTGCCAACCCCCACATTTAATGGTTACCTTCAACAACGCTTGGCTAAATCTTCTCATTACATTCAAGTACATCTCATGGGTCTTTGGATCCCTCTGCTGGGTATCTTGATCTTCACATTCCACGATCACATACCTTAAAAATATGTTTGAGTCATTCGTGTGATGTGAAATGAAACTTAGATTCAGTTTGCAAATACTCATTATCATTTCACTAAAACAGGTTAATTTACACATGCAAAAATAATCAAATTGGAGTAATAAAACACATTTTATCATCTCTTTTAAAAGTGAAAAGTTACAGAGGAACACATACAACCATCAATAAAAGGTAAATTAAGAGTGATAATGCCTTAATTTGTGTAATATCCCAAATTTTCTAAACTTTTGCCACCAAAACAAGTATTTTCTCCTATTTATGAGGTAGAGTATTAACACCCTCAGAAATCATCTAAGCTCACATATTTACCGAGTAACTCGAGAACAAAAACTATTATTTTCATAATCTACATAATACTTTGGTATTACATAAGGCTCTCTGATTCTGAAAACCTCTCTGAAGTTACTCCTGTCACTTATATTTTTGAAAGATGAATAAAATTTTAAGTAATTTTTTCTTTCCCATCCAGTTTCCCGTTTTTCAAAGATTCATACATAATCTTTAACTTCCCAATCAAAAAACTATGGTTTTAGAGAGTAAAAGATATTTTAAATGTTTTCTTAAACCTAATCTGCTTATACAATTATAAAAATCATATAAGCAATGATCTGAGTAAGATTTTATAGGTCTTCTAATCCAGTGTTTCTAAATGTTCCAGTGGGAACAAACCAAAGCAAATAACAGGTTGGGCATGGTGGCTCACGCCTATAATCCCAGCGTTTCTGGGGAGGCCTAGGAAGGAGGATCACTTGAGGTCAGGAGTTTGAGACCAGCCTCTACATTAAAAAAAAAAAAAATTAAATATAAGCCAGGTGTGGTGACACCGCCTACAGTTCCAGCCACTAAGGAGGTTGAGGTGAGAAGACAGCTTGAGCCCATGTGAAGCTGCAGTAAGCTATGACTGTACCATTACACTCTAGCTTGGGCAACAAACGGAGATGGTACCTCTTAAAAAGAAAAAAAAAGGTATCACAGCTTGATACACACAGCCACATACGCACATAGATGCATAAAACTGAAAAGTTTCACAAAGCAACATCCTGTGAACAATATGTTAATATTTGCTATTCTGTTTATTTTTCTTTAAATAACAAATGCTAGACTGAAACTTTAAATTGCTTTCAGTGGATCATGATGATGTGTAGTTTGAAAACCATCAATCTCAATCAACTTGCTTGCCTTATCAACAGTGAAACTTAGAGGGGCTGTGTCTTGTCTATGGTGGTATGATTGATTATAAAACTGAGATAGAAACCCAGGACTTTGGGCTCCCAGGTCAGACTTTTTTGATTTTACTAAGTTGACTTTCACACTGTTTTATCCTTAAAACACATACGAAACTTTTCTATCTTCTTAACTGTCAATGTTGCCCAAATCTCAAGTCACGGATGCTTATTATGATCGTTTCTACGATTTCTGGGAGAGTATACTCTGTATTCGGCCATTCAGATGGTCGACTTCATGAGAGCAGAGGGCTTACCTGTCTTGTTCTCCACTATACCTTCAGCATGTCTGGCTCGTAACAGATGCTCAACATATTATTAACATATTACTGTTGAATTAATAATTCCACTATTGTGGATTTAGGCTACTATCTCATTATTGATAATTTTCAAATATAAATACATATTCCTTTTTTACATCTAAGGTCTAATTTTGAATTCCACTGCATGACCTGCTTCCACATTCATGCACCCTAGTTTTCAAGGACCAGATCCCCTTTTCAAGACACTGTGTGTCATTTCTAACTGAACACGTGTAAAACCAAACTTATCACATTAAATGCATCTTTTTCTACCTCTACTGAAGGTACTAACAATATCCCAGGTATTTGGGCTAGGAATTCTCATGTAGAAGGGTTCACAAACTCAGATTTTCTCAAAAGGCAGGCAGGAAACAAATGTTTGACTCGCTTAAATAGAAGGAAAGAGAGAGAGGTAGGGCTGCAGCCAAACCAGAGAACACAGCACTACCTAAAACTTTCCTTGGCCCTCTGTTCAATTTGTGGTCCATGAATCTAACGCTGTACTTTAAAACAAAAAACAGCAGTTCTAAACGGTGAAACTGTCAATATGGTATTATTCAACTCCAATCCATCCCCTTCTACCCTTTATAGTTAAAGTCCTTGATTGTCTCCGTCACCTTAGGGTATTCAGAATCTTTTCCTGTGTTTATGCAGTAAACTTATTTCCAAATGAACATATAGCTGACCACACTGGAGGGGCCCACTGCTGTGTCCTGCTCTTTCTGATCACCAAGTAAACACTATGGCTGCAGCTATTTTCTGTTACTGAAAATATATGTTGATGCTTATAATAAGCATCCAGTATCAAACACCTCTCAAAAATCATTCAAGCCGGCCAGGTGCGGGGGTTCATGCCTGTAATCCCAACACTTTGGGAGGCCGAGGCAGGGGAACTGATTCAACCTGGGAGGCAGGGGTTGCAGTGAGCCAAGATCGCACCCTTGCACTCCAGCCTGGGCAACAAGAACGAAACTTTATCTCAAAAAAAAAAAAAGACACTGTCATCGCCAAATATGAGAGATAAGGTTAGCTATCAAGACTAGAAGACCTAGATTTGAATCATTTCTGAGATTTCTGTTCACATCAATAAACTAGATTCTATAAAACACTCTAAGGTATTTCTTTGAAAGCTGTCATCTTAAAGTAGGAATGCAAACAAAATTGTCCAGGTACCCATTGTAAGATGACATCAGTGGGCTACCTGTTTCCTGGCAATTTTATTTTGTGGAGTAAATAACCTTTATTACCTTGAAAGGTCTTAAAAGTTATAGAAAACATGTCAAAGCATCCAAAGTTTACTTTCAACTTCAACATCCTAGAATGGCTATAAAAATAAAAAACTGCAACGATTTATAGATTCTGATGCCCAACATTTTACAGACTGGAGACTGTAACTCCCTTCTGTGGCTTAAAAGGTTGACACTATTCATTTTAAAAGGATTGTCTGCACACCTATAGGCCCCTAAGGATTTAGCTACAGCAAGAATCCTGTTTAAATCACCAGAAAGGGAACAAATGAAAAAAGGAAATTCAAATGTTCAAAGGAAACAGCACAATCAATTAAAATTTCTATTTTAATACATTTGTTATAATAGAGTAGGCTTACAGAAGCATTTATATTCTCACATTTTGTTATTTTTATATGTTCAAAGGAAGAGAAGAATGATCATTTTAAACCAACTACTTGAAATTATTTCCCTTATTGTTACCTTACATTCACAAAAGCAGTGTCTATTAAAGGCAAGAGTCCACACATCAATAGCTTTTCTCCCCATGAGTATTTCTGAATATGTAATAGGCAGACTATAAATATGGGAAAAACAATTACTCCTTAGGGAATGAAGAGACACAGCATATGCTATTGATTCAATGAATCAGAGATATAGTGGGAAAACACAAATCAAATCTAAGTTTGACTGAATGTTTATAAGACTGGGAACTAGGGCTGTACTTTGTTTATAGGAAAAAAAAGTGTGCTCCTTATGAACAGAAACAGCTGCTATGTTGAAAACTTCATCTAATAGACTTCCTACTGTTTGGCTGCTTTCAGAAAATTCTTCCTACTTGAAATAAGAGATCAAAGATTCTATCGAAACTCATTTCAAATTTAATAATGAAATCTGGTCTACAATCAAACATAAAGAACATGTAACTTGAAAGTACCACATAATCAGTATATATACATATAGCTCTTACTATAGTGAATACTCTAGACTATAATTTCTGAGCCAGAGAAAAGTTTCTGTGAATATTGCAAAGAAACAAAAATACCTGTAAATGAATTCTTAGCAAAGGATTTTAAAAATATATAAAATTTTAATTTAAAAATACCTAAGAAGCTTCGAAATATTTACTCAAAAACTCAAGAAACATACCCCACAAATATTTTTTTCTCTTTACTTCCTTTTAAATATTTAGAGTTTCATGAGGAAATATTTTTCCATAAGACCAGTGAATAGACATACCCTTAAGTATTCAGATTGGAACACAGAGAACATTAGAGGTAAAAGGTGACATTTAAAGGAAATAGTAGCAATTTGGCAATATGAGAATTTCTAAGTAAACCTTTCAAAGAAAAAATAGTGATTAACACTTAGTCAAAACCTCCTATATTTTCAAGGACATAATGAAATTTAAAGTGAAGAAAATGTTGTTTTATGAATATTATATTAAACTGCTAAAGTAAAAGTAGGAAACTATTTTTCTTCCCACTACAGAGGCCAACAGAAAAAAAAACAAACAACCACCAAAAAAAATAAACACAGGTTCCAAAGGGGGAAAAATCACTGATTTACTTAAGATTGTTGACAGTGGTTTTTTTTTTGTTGTAAAGAAAACCATAAAGGCTTAAACTAAACAAATATTTATTGTTTATATAAATCGAAAACTGTGTACGTTAAAAGAGTGCTCCATAAAAAACGATGAGTTCATGTCCTTTGTAGGGACATGGATGAAGCTGGAAATCATCACTCTGAGCAAACTGTTGCAAGGACAGAAAACCAAACACCGCATATTCTCACTCATAGGTGGGAATTGAACAGTGAGAACTTGGACTCACGGCAGGGAACATCACACACTGATGTGACGGAGTGGGGGGAAGGAGGGAGGGATAGCATTGGGAGAAATACCTAATGTTAATGACAAGTTGATGGGTGCAGCACACCAACATGGCACATGTATACGTATGTAACAAACCTGCACGTTGTGCACATGTACCCTAGAACTTAAAGCATAATAAAAAAGAAAAAAAGAAAAAGAGTGCTCCAATTTAGTTACCTACTTCTTAGGTACAGGGGCAGTATCTGGCAGAGTGTTACCTCTGGAGAGTGGGAGAATGAAGTTAAGGCTGGACTTGACCCACAAGGACAGCTTCCCAAATCCAGTCTTAAAACAAAATAGTATTTTGTATAATTTTCTCACTAAAAGCAAAATACTTCATCATTATTCAAAAGTACCGGTTCAGCATCTCTTAGTCAAAATGCTTGGAATCAGAAATGTTTTGGATTTCTAGTTTTTTTTTTTGGATTTTTGAATATTTGCATTATACTTAGCACCTTAAATCCAAAAATTCAAAATCTGAGATGCTCCGAAGAGCATCTCTTTTGCACTTCATGTCAATGCTCATAGAGGGCTGGATTTTGGAGCATTTCAGATTTCAGATTTTTGGATTTGGTATGCTCAACCTCTAGTGAGCTTTTACGATGGACCTCTACTAATTTGTAATTTGTTTAAGGCTATAAATTGAGCAGTAAGATTAGATTAGAAATCATTTATACAATAAAAAGTCTCATGCCAAGAAGTTTAAAACGTGATGTAAGTAGTTTTAAGGATTCTCCCAAAGGTAAAGGCGGCTTTAGGCAGGTCTTACCCCCCTGGCTCTGCCCTTTGTTAGCTCTGTAAAGCTAGATGAAGCCCTCTTATCTAGTGTTTAATCTCAGTACTTTTTTTTTTTTATTGAAGAAAAATATTTCTGATTGTGGCTTAAGCTACTTGTTTTTTCTCTTCAGGATTCTGTGGAAAATAAAGGAAACCATGCTTCATATTAACTGTGCCTCAAGTCAGTCAGTCACTCTGTGCCTTAGTTTCTCTCTTTCCTTCAAGTGACTCAGGACATCATTTTAATGTGAAATAGAGACATTTACACATGCCCATTTAACTTCATAGAAACAAATGAGAAAAGGTCACTGAAAGTACCCTGAAAATGACAAAGCAGTAGATAAATGATTTAATCCTAGATCAAGGTCTACCAAGTTCAGCTACAGCAAGCCTCTGCCTTGGTTTTCTCATGTTTAAAATGCCATAACTTTTAATTGCAACTTTCTCTTTTTAAATGATTCCAATGTTTTAGTAAATAATGTGAAAATACATACTCCTGAAGAACTGTGAAATATCATACTCAACTACTTTACATGCCAAACAGATATCAAACTGAAAGCACCCATTACCCTCCCCAGGTATATCCCAGCTCTTGGAAAGTTATATCCTTAGTGAAAGGGAGAGAAACGGCGGTGCCAAGAAGCGTTTCCACGAACCCAACTGTCATGGAATACAGCTAGATACAAAAACACTGTATCTAGACATTTGATGATTGCTCATATCTTATTTTAAATCGTCTTTGTGTTTACAGCATGAGAAAAATAATTCTTAAGGGTAATAAGAACATAAACAGAAAATTATTTTCACATACCAGTATAAATAATTAGCCAGTGTTGAGTTTTTGCAGGCTCTCGATATCAAGAAGGTACAGAGATCTTGCTGAAAGAATTAAAATAAATGTATTATACATCACCATCTACTATTAATGAGGGAAAATAAGTAAGTCTACATTTGCCTATCAGTTTTCATCTGTATATCTTATGTAACAGATCATATTTTCTGCCATTTACCTACCCTTACATACACACATACAAAAATACTTTAAACCAGACAATATGCAAGAGGTTAGAACACTGCAGTTCAGAGAACTCCTTGTCCTCCTGGAGCTTCATATTGGTAGAGGAGAGAGACATTAAAAGAAATGGTCATAGAAATAATTTAGGTTGGGAGGTTAGAAAAGGCAGCAATGAAGATATGACATTCAGGCAAGACCAAAATGACACTGGAAGACTCTAAGTTTGGCTTGTTCAAGGAATTTTAAGTAATGTAAATAAAATACAGTGAACACTGAATAGACTGAAAAGATACGCAAAGGTCAAAGTATGTGAGACCTCTAAGGTCACGTTATTATTGAGTATGAATTTTATTTTAAAAGCAATGGATACCCAACAAAGGATCTTAAAAGGAGAGTGAGATGATGTGATTTACATTTTAGGAAAATGACTGGTTGTCCTGTGAAGTACAGACCTGAGATCAGTTAAGATGCTATTACAGTAGACTAGGAGAGTAAATAATGAGAGTGCAGATGGTGAAAAGCAGACAAATAAAAGAAGTATCTTGGAAGTATAATTAACAGGACCTGCTGGTGAAGAGGAATTAGGAAGGAAAGAAAGGAATTAATAGTAACTCCCAAATTTCTGGATTGATTTGTTATGGCACAAATGGAAATTTCAGACAAAAAGCTACCTACCTACAGAGTGAGAGGAAAGAGTTGTATTTTGAAATATTAAGTTCAAAATGCCTGTCAGATACACAATGGAGATCAAATACATGTTTGAATACATGAATCTGAAACTCAGGTGAAAGATCTGAGCTAGAAATATAAATTTGAGTTTATTAATACAACCTAGGGCAAGAGTATTGAGTGAGACTAGAAGAGGAGCCTGAGGAACATTAAGATGTCAGGCAGAGAGGAAAGTGCTGACAAAAGACACTAAGAAGAAATGGCAAGAAAGATGAAGAGAAAAACAAGAGATACACAGTATCACCTAAACCATGAGAAGAGTTAGTTTTTCAAGAAGAAAATTATTTACTTTGTTGAATACTCTGAAGAAGCTGAAAAGAATGTACAACCAAAAACATTAGGGTTATTTTGTAACTTAGCAAATTAAGTTTTAAGCAAGAGCCAGAATGATATGGAGTAAAGACTGGAAAGAAGGAAGAAAAGAGTATGTATAAAAAACTCCTTTGAGAAAAGTAAGAAAACAAGGTGCTGTTTCAAGAGATGTGGTTTCAAGGGAGAGTTTTGTTTTTCTGAACTTTTAACATGGAAAATTCTAACACATACTTGAGTATTTCTATCAGGAAAAGAAAACACATCTTTGAAGAGAGTTATGTTTCTTCTGTGTAAGAAAACAGAAGGAAAGTATGGGGGAGAAATTCATGTCTATAAAACCACTGATGGGAAAGAGACCATTCCTACCTAGAGGTTTCTATTGTTTCCATTAAGTATAAGGCAGAATTGTCATCTGGAGATTGGGAGGCGGGGCATGAGAACAGAGTGGAAATGGTATGAAAAATCATTGCAGGGCAGGAAGATCAACACGTCTAGGGACATGGAAGATGGCAGAGAGCGGTGAGTGCTCATGTGAGGTTTGTGATCGTGAATTTATAGTGACACCAACATGCTATGCTATGTGTTTTTCTTCAGCAATATTCAGGCATGGCGAAAGTAGGTAATTAATGAGGCTTATCAAGAGCTGAGATGTTTGCCAGGGGAACTGCAGGTACTATTAAAAGAATAACTAAAATGACAGCCATGGGATAAAAGCTATGTTCAGAGAAAAGCAAACATTGAAGGGAGGTGATGAATAATGAAAAGGGTAGGGATCAACAGATTAGAACTTTTAATGCAGTAGGGGTCCTTTTGTAATTCCGAGTAATAAGAGGTTGTTATTACAAAATAGATGTGCCAATGCTTTCAGTAAGAATTTTATCTCGTTTTAAAGCTTAGGTATACATTTTAAATATGCACCAAAAATCCAATTTAAAAAACTCCTTAATCTGGAAGCCATTATATAAAGCTGAGTCCATGAGTTTAATAGGCAGACTATAGACCTAAAGTTCTCTTTTGACTATCTGGCAAGAACATTATACTTTTGTACAGTGATATATATATTTTAATAGCAAACACATTTCATTTCATACTATGCCCTTTTGATAAAAAAATTACTTACAGAACATAAAGAGAAGTTGAATTTTAAAAACTGTGAAGCAGGAAGTATGTATTGTAAATGTTAAAACTCAATTTGAGTAAGCAAGACTTTACGATTTTAAAACAGTTTAAAGAAAAAAGTGCTTTATAAAAAAAGATCACATGTTGTAGGTCACAGACATAAGAAGAAATGGTGAGGAAGGTGCAGGTATCCTTTAAGAAAAGTATCTCTAAGTATTTACTGAGTGTATACAATAATAACAATAATATTATCAAATCTGAAGGAAGTTAAATAACAAGACGGGGTGGGGTGGAGGGAGAAGGATTTAGCCAATGACAAGCAAGAATATATAATTTATATATACATAAGAAAGTATAGAAAGTACTACATAAGATAGTGAAATCAGTCAAAATACAGCTACGACCACAATACAAATAAATGGGGCAAAAGTTCCAGTTACAAAACAGAGTGTTAAACTAGATTAAAAAACAAAATTCAGCTACGTGACATTTAAAAAGGACCTAAATATAATAAACCTAAAACATAAGGTTACAAAAAATTCAAAGGAAAAGATAAACAAAGACAACAAAAATATTGAGAAGAAAAGATCAACATGAACACTAATCAAGACAAAGCTCTATTAACATCAGACAAAACAGGCTTTAAGATGAAAAGCTTTATTAGGTATCAAGAGGGTTACCGAACAGCGATAAAAGATGCAATTTATGTATTTAATTGGAGAGCTTCAAAATATTTAAAGCAAACACTAACAGAAATACAAGAAGAAATTAATAATTCTACCATCATACAGGGGAATTTTGCCCTAATTCTTTCACAGATAAAGCAGAAAGCAATGTTAGGACAGAGTACAGATTTCAATAACACAATTCATAAGCTTGCTCTAGTAACTTAAGTACAATGCTATGCCCAACAGCTGGGAAATACACCTTCTTTTCAAGAACCCATGGAATTCATAAAATATGAGCAGATTTGGGGAATAATTGAGTTTCTGTCTCCTTTCAAACATGTGGCCAGACACGTATAATGTTCTCCTGAAACTCCAAGAATAAAATGAGGAAGGACATAAGACACTGCTCAGGTATCAAAAAGGAGACAGGAATGTTGGTATCTCAAGTTGTGATAAGAGAGGTAATTCGGCTTGGTTGTGTATTAACCTAAAGGTGACCATGGCTTGTACAATACCCTCTATGGGAATAGGGGAAGTGATAAGGGAAGACAGAAATATCACTCAAAATGATTGTCACTCTTTTTTGGATACCTGAATCCTTTAAAAAACAATTCAGCTGACAAAAAGTTAAATGGCTTAATCATTGAATAACAACAGATAGGTTCATCAGTCACAAGAGAAAAATCAGAAATATATAAAAACTATCATTATTTTTAGCCTAAAATTTTTGAGCGATGGGTGAATATAAATCAATATTCTGAATATAGTTTTCAGAATCTAATCGTTTCACTGCATCTAGAATGTAAATTATCCTTTGTTCAAGCTACCAACATGGAAAACTCATTCAGACTAATGGCCTACAACCCCTACACAACTGATGGCCAGTTATCTCTTGGATCCAATCTTCTGCCAAGTTCTCTTTTGCTCACTCCCCGATAAACCAGGCACACTAGTTTCTGGTGTTCCTCAAACATACACACTTAAACTCTGGTCTTAGGACCTCCATACTTGCTACTCCCTCTATGTGAAATGCTCTTCCCCAGATAGCCATATGGTTGTTCCCTCACCTGCTTCACTTTTGGTGGGATGTTACCTTTTTAGTAACAAGTAACTTATAAGAGCTTTCTAGAACATAAGCTCTACGAAAGCAAACATTTAACTGTCTTGTTTTCTGCTGCATCAACCCCAGCATGCAGAACAGTTCCCTATATGTTAAGAGCTCAAAAAACATATGTGAATGAATGAATGAATGAATCAATCAATCAATCAATATTTTAGCTTTGAAAGGGAAAACTTAACTGTAGCAGACTGGCTTCTTAAAGGGCTTCTCTAAGGATTCTATGATTCTGTGATTTAAAAATTCTTTCTTTCAGTTGAATATTTTGTTATACCGAGAGATATGTAAACATACAAACTTTAATCAATAGCTAATAGTTAAAATATTCATTCAGTCATTAACATTACCTCCTAAAATCTAACTAAAAGCAATATATATACATACACTAAAAAATCACATGAACTTTTCTAATAATAAAACATGTGTTACTTGTTTTCAACATGAGATATTGATGATTTCTTTTAAATTAGAAGTCTTACAGACAAATTCAAAAATATGTACTACATCAGCTTCTACAATGCACTTTCCAAAGTGCATTGCAGATTAGCACTTTTCAGATTAGCACTAGTCTAACAGGCCTGTTTTATCTCAAAAATGTGTCTACTTATATGTATAGTTAAAAAGTTGCTTAGTGTATTATCTCTAATATCAAAGTCATACATTTCTACAATGTAATCACAAGCACTGACAACAATTACAGTGAGGTTCATAAATACATTGACAGTAAATATTCTGAGTTTCCCTAATAAAATATTTAAGCCTAGTTTATTTTCATATTGCATATGAATCCATTTATATGCCCAAAGCACCAATAAAATGACTTGAATTGAGGACTATCTGGCACTTTATGCTGAGGGGAAAAGTCATAAACATGCATCATAAAGTAAGTTATTTAATAAAGTTGTAATATTTAGTTATTTAACCAAAACTGAGATTTAAAGACAAGCATAAAATGTTTATGCGGTAGGATCTCTCCTATAGGAAGCTGGAAAAGCTTTGTACTCACTTCCAGATTTTCGCCATCTGGAACTTCTTTTGTTTTTGATGCAGGAGGTGGTGAGGAGACTGGAGGAAGGGGGCTGGTTATAATTTGGGAGCTGAAAAATAAAAGAGATCACCGAGATGTAAAATACTCTGTCCATAAGAGAAGACACACTTTTTTTTTTTTTTTTTTTTTTTTTAAGCACAGTTCCCTTCAATTGTGTCTGGTTAATGCAACAATTCCTCAAGTGTGTTCTGTGCAACACTAGAGTCACACTGTACTCTGGAAAAAGTGCATGGTCAAAGATGATGGCTAATGCCTCTTGGGAGACTTATGTGCAAATCTGCATATTAAAGGTTTGGGTAAGTGCTGTTTGTTTGTTTAAGCTGATTTGGCTTTAAACCAGCATTTCCCAAACATATCTGGCCAAGATCTCCTCTTTTTTTATCTTTTTTAAAACAAAATAAAGCTTAAAAAAAATTAAAACATACACACACACACACACACACACACAAAATTAGTGACTAGTACACCATAAGTTGGAAAAGACTAGGTTACAGTTTTCACCCCATCATAAAACTCTGAATAGATTTTTACTTATAAAACATTCTACAGGGCATAAGGAAGAAAGTAAATGAGCATGACTTAAGACTGAAGACCTCCAATATAGAGAGATAATATAAAGAACATCTTTATATTAACAAAAAAATACAAAGTAGTCAGGGAAAGAAAAATTATTTGTCGTCTTTTTTGGTTCTTCTCCAAATAAAACACACAACATAAAGCATAGCATAACCATAATCATAAAGAAAAATTCAAAAATCCAATCTTGAGCTCATATAATAATTGAAATGACTGGACTTACTCAGGAAGTCTAAAATCTAGACCTGGTTTTGTCAATAACAAACCTCATGATCTTCACAAAACCATTTTCCATCACTAAGCCTAAGATTTTTCACCCAACAGTTACTACTTTTTTCAAATTTTAAGATTTTCTGAAAAGTAAAAAGTAGAAAAAAATGTAGGATTTGGAGTCAACTCTACCATTTGCAAGATATATAAGACTTTGGGCAATTTACTTCAAGTCCTTCATCTCTAAATTAGGGACATGAATACGTACCTGAGAAGACAGTTGTAACAAGAAAATGTGTGTGGACCACCTGGTACAGACTGGGAACTCCTCATTTTTATATTGTCAATAGCTAACTTTTAAGTCAAATAATATGCTATTATTTTCAGTATAACTACTAAAGAGGTGTAAACAGCTAATAAAAAATACAACTTTTTATTAAACTACTTGAGTTCACTCCTCAAATAGTGCTCCGTCCTGCCATTTCATCCATTTTTTTGTTTGTTTGTTTGAGACGGAGTCTTGCTCTGTTGCCCAGGCTGCAGTGCAATGGCGCAATCTCGGCTTGCTGCACCCTCCACCTCCCAGGTTTCACCACGTTGGCCAGGCTGTTTTTGAACTTCTAACCTCAAGTGATCCGCCCACCTCAGCCTCCCAAAGTGCTAGGATTACTGGCATAAGCCACCGCACCTGCCCCTGTCATTTCATTTTAACATAAATAAGTAATAGTAGCTAACACTGAGCACTATGTATTAGACAGTTTCCTCTGAGTGTTAATTCACTTAATGATTAAACAACCCTTAAAGATGAGTTACTATTGCTATCACCACTCTTAAGAAACTGGAGACACATAGAGAATATGTAATTTATACAAGTTTACACAGCTAGGAAGTGGCAGAGTCAAGATTTTAAGTCAGGTATTCAGACTTGACAGCCTGCAAAACACTGTTTCCTAATATAGTAACTTGTGTGCTGTGAGTACACACGCAATATTCACTAGTAAAACTTCAAAATTAGTAATACTAGGGTGTGGTACATCTAAGGAAAGGAAAACAGAAAACAATTTGAAATGGAAAAAATTAACAAATTGGAAAATATGTTCTCCCTGGATAGCCATACCTATCTATTTCTGCAGAATTTATTCCAGAATTTGACAGATTTTCTGACACTGAACTCTGACTATCCTTCTTGGTAGGTTCCAATCCATTCTTTATATCATCAAAATTTTCATATTTGAGAGCCTGGACCAATTGTAATAGGTACATCAACAAATCCTGGAAAACAAACAAAAAGTAAAGTAATATTAGGAAAAGAATGCAAAATGATTATAGACATTATTTATTCCTAAATATCAACTAAACATTTCACTTTTATCTATTACTTTTCAGCTGTATTACTTTTGACACGTCACCAAGTTACTTAACTTCCCTGGACCCCACAGCCCCTTCATCTTTAAAATTGACATCATAATATAAATTGTAGAGAAGAGAATGAAGGGTTAAATTAGTTAATAAAAGAAAGTCATAGAATAGTGTCCAGCACAGGCTAAGTGGCCAATAAATGATGTGTTTCAGGTAGCAGCTTAAAAAAAAAAAAAAAAAAAAGTGGGAAGGATTCAAGATGCTTTGCGTAAAACTAAGAAATTATAGCCGGTCGCAGGGGCTCACGCCTGTAATCCCAGCACTTTGGGAGGCTGAAGCAGGTGGATCACGAAGTCAGGAGATCGAGACCATCCTGGCTAACACAGTGAAACCCCGTCTCTACTGAAAATACAAAAAATTAGCCGGGCGTGGTGGCGGGCGCCTGTAGTCCCAGCTACTAGAGAGGCTGAGGCAGGAGAATGGCGTGAACCCAGTAGGCGGAGCTGGCAGTGAGCCAAGATTGCGCCACTGCACTCCAGCCTGGGTGACAGAGCAAGACTCTGTCTCAGAAAAAAGAAAAAAGAAAAAAGAAATTATAGAAGGATCCTTTTTTCAGTAATAGATCAGAAGAGTGCATTCTATGTTTAATATTACACAAGAAATTCCAAATTTTCAAGTTTTCAAAGAACTTCTGTTTAATGTCTTTTTCTGGTTAAAATCTTTAAAACTCATGTGTTTTCTTTTTTCCTGAAACATCAGGTTTTAGAGAATCTGGATTGCTTCTTAAATGAAAGATGCTATAAAACAGACATTTGATTAAGAGACATGCTTTCTATTCCTGCCAACTCCCAAGAGATTTGAACAAAACAAATTGCTAAGCCTAAATTCTCCGTAAGTGACAACCAACGAGATAACCTGGACTAAAAAGGTGTTAGTCAACAAAGTAGCTTTTACTTTACTGAGTTTTCCCTTAATAATAATGGTAATAATAACAATAATAATAAAACTCTTTAATGTTTAGGATGGAAATGCTTCCAGTATTTCTCTATAAAGGTTGTCCTCTTCACATACTTGTCCTCTTCACAAGTATGTACTTTTTAAAATTTTACTTTTAAAAATAACTAAAAAGTGAAGAAAACCGCAAAACTCAAAAAATTTTTAAATGGATCTATTTTAATCTTCCAATTCCAATTGTCATTCATCCTGTTAGACACTTGAAACTCATAATTAGAAAATTTTGACTTTGGGACTACCAACTCAACTTCAGTCTCCTCTTTAAGCTCACAAAACAGGTTAAGTCTCCTGCAAATATTTCATGGTCCACTTTTTCCTATTTGTAACACCTATAGCACTTGTAATAACTTACTCTTGGTTTTCCACTGTTTTATAAACTAGGAGGACAGAGACCGCCTGCCAGCAACCCGTATTTCCTTATTTAAGGAATAACTCATTTTATTGTACCTTGCACATATTGCATTTTTTTTTTTTTTTTTTTTTTTTTTTTTTTTTTACAGAATGAGTTTTGTGGCAACCCTGCACCCAAGCAAGTCTATTGGCATCATTTTTCCAACAGCATACTTTCACTCCCTGTCTTTGTGTCACATTCTAGTTATTCACATAATATTTCAAACTTTTTCATCATTATTTTATCTGTTACGGTGACCTGTGATCAGTGATCTTTGATGTTACCATTGTAATCAGGGGTGCCACACACCATACCCAAATAAGATGGCACAGTTAATTAATCTTGAATGTGTTCTGTCTAATCCACCAACCAGCTGTTTCCCTGTCTCTCTCCCTCTCCTAGGGCTTGCCTGTTCCGAGACACAGTAATACTGCAAGGAGGTCAATTAATAAACCTACAACGCACTCTTTAAGTGTTCAAGTAAAAGGAAAAGATGCATGTCTCTTACTTTAAATCAAAAGCTAGAAATGATTAAGCTTAGTGAAGAAGGCACAAGAAAAGCCAAGATAGGTTGCAAGCTAAGTCTCTTGTACCGAACAGCCAAGGTATGAATGCAAAGTAAAAGTTCTTGAAGTATACTGAAAATGCTATTCCAGGGAACCACAAATGAAAAGAAAGCAAAACGGCCTTATTGCTGATAGAGAAGTTTTAGTGGCCTGGGTAGATGAGACTAGCCACGACATTCCCATGAACGAAAGCCCAATCCACAGCAAGGCCCTAACTCTCTCCATTTCTACAAAAGCTGAGAAAGGAGAGGAAGCTGCAAAAGAAAAATCTGAAGTTAGAAGAGGTTTGTTCATGAGATGTAAGGACAGAAGAGTCATTTCCATAACATGAAAGTACAAAGCGAAGCAGCAAGTACTGATGGAGAAACTGCAACAAGTCATTGATGCAGGTGACTATACTAAACAACAAAGTTTCAGTGCAGATCAAACAGCCTTGTTTTAGAATAAGATGCCATCTAAGATTCTCACAGCCACAGGCTGAGTTTCTTGGTAAGGGTCTAATGTAAGTTGTGACTTTAAGCTGAAGCTACTGCTCATTCACCATTTCAGAAGTCCTAGGGCCCTTAAGAATTACGCTACATCTCCATTGCCTGTGCTCTATAAACGGAAGAACAAAGCCTGGATGACATCACATCTGTTTAGAGCATGGCTTATGAATATTTAAGCCCACTGTTAAGACTCATTGTTCAGAAAAGAAGATTCCTTTCAATATATTACTGCTCATAGACAATGTACCTGGTCACCTAAGAGCTCCGATGAAGATGCAGAAGAAGCTGAAAGTTGTTTACAATCCTGCTATCACAACATCCATTCTACTGCCCATAAAATCAAGGAGTCACTTCGACTTTCAAGTCATATTACTTAAGAAACACATTTTGTAAGGTCATATCTTCCATAGACAGTGATTCCTCTCATGGATCTGGGCAAAATAAACTGAAAATCTTCTGGAAAGGATTCGTCATTCTAGATGTCATTAAGAACATTTGAGCTTTATGGGGAAGGTCAAAATAGCAACATTAACAGGAGTTTGGAAGACGTTGATTCTAACTTTCATGGATAACTTTGAGGGGCTGAAGACTTCAGTGCCTGTAATCCCAGCACTTTGGAAGGCCTAGGTGGGTGGATCACCTGAAGTCAGGAGTTCAAAGCCAGCCTGGCTAACATGGCGAAACCCTGTCTCTTACTAAGAATTAGGCGGGTGCAGGGGCACACACCTGTAATCTCAGCTACTCGGGAGGCTGAGGCAGGAGAATCGCTTGAACCCTGGAGGCAGAGGTTGCAGTAAGCCAAGATCATGCCACTGCACTCCAGGCTAGGTGACAGAGGGAAGACTCCTTCTCAACAACAACAAAAAAGACTTCAGTGGAGGAAGTAAATGCAGAAGTAACAGAAACAGCAAAAAAAAAAAAAAAAAAAAAACAAAACAAAAAACTAGAATTAGAGGTGCAGCCTGAACATGTGACTGAATTGCTGCAATCTCATGCTAAAACTTGAACAGATGAAGAGTTGCTTCTTATGGATGAGCAGCAAAGAGTAGTTTCTTGAGATGCGATCTATGCTTGGTGAAGATGCTGTGAACATTGTTGAAATGACAACAAAAGATTCAAAATACTCCATAAACGTAGTTGTTAAAGCAGTGGCAGTATTTGAGAGGACTGACTTCAATTTTGAAAGAAGTTCTACTGTGGATAAAATAATAGCAAGCAGCACTGCACGCTATAGACAAATCTTTTGTGGAAAAAAAAAGAGTCAATGGGTGTGGCAAAGTTTACGTTTGTTTTATTTTAGGAAACTGCCACAGCTACCCCAACCTTTTGCAACCATCACCCTGATCATTCAGTGGTCATAAACATCAAGGCAAAACCCTTGACTACCAAAAAGACTACAACTTGCTAAAGGCTCAGATGATTGTTAAAATTTTTTAGCAACATTTTAAAATAAGATATGTACATTGTTTTTCTAGACATAATGCTATTACATACTTAGACTATAGTATAATTTACTATATAAACATACAGCAAAGTTATATGTCTAAATTTTACATGTACTAGGAAACCAAAAAATTCATTAGACTCAATTTATTGTGATATTTGCTTTACTGCAGAGGTCTGGACCAAACCTGCAATATCTCTGAGGTATGACTGTATATTTCTCTTTTGTTCAGAATTTGTATCTCACACCAAATAATTTTTAAAAAGGTCACTAGGCAAACACTAACAAAGATTAATACATATGACTTCATCATCAATATAAATTAAATGAAAGATTATGTGGCTTATTAATTCTTATTCAAATATGTTAATGTCAGGAGTCAGGGAAATCAAGTCTCTCTACAGTGTTGTTTCTAAAACCCACTTTTTAATTGGAGCAATAAACATCTGATTTTCTATTATCACAGTTGAGATTCATGGCATCTAATAACTATACATAGAATTACATGTTGTTTCCTAAGGAAAAAAGCATTATGTAACAAAATTAAACAATATATTTAATGACAGGTATCCTTCTTTGGAGGTACCAGTAATTCAGTTTCACTGCCAGCCTTCATTCCGAATGCTGCTGGATCCATTGCCTGTGTGCCTTCCTAATTACAGAAAGGAGTTAACCATATAAAATAAAAAAGGCTGCAGTATTAAATTCCCCAGGAAGGGGAAATTCAGTAGAAAACTTTTCTAAGTCACTTATCATCATCTGATTTCTTGGTCATTTCATATTCTATATTCAAACTATACTTTCCTTCATTTGTATGAAAATGAATTAACTTCAATAGTAAGTAGAGTCTGTTTTCTCATTATATAGTCACATCTTGAAAAATATAAAAGTCCTCCAAGCATGAAGGACAAAAGCATTGGAGTAAAACAAGGCAAAAAAAAAAAAAAAAAAAAAAAAAATCAGGCTTCCATCTCAGGCAATTCTGTAAATATTTCCCAAGAGCTATGAAATTTTTCTAGATAGTGATCACCATTTTTCTCCAGAGTAAGTTAATTCTAATGCTTCAAAGTGCAAATGTGAAGTCCCATATCAAAATCACTCAGTGACTTCCCACTTCTTACTGAATTAAGAATAACTCTCCATAGAGGCATTTTCAGTTAGAGACATGGGTTCTGATTTTGCCTCTCAATTGCTACATATATCCTACACTCCTGTGGAAGTGACATACTTTCCATTCTTCCTGTACTTTCAATTCCCTTGCTCTTGCTCGCATTGCTTTCTCTACCTGGAATATAAACTCCAAACGTAAAAATTCTACATTTCCTTCAACTCAAATGCCACTTCTTCATTACATTCTAATATGGAATCTCTCTCCTTTTGAACTACACAGCAGTAAGAAACATGATTTAAAAATTTCAAAATAATGCAAGATAAAGAATAGTCATTTAAAAAATCCTAAATAATATATTAACAAATCAAATTCAGACAGGTATTGAGATTTATTTTACAAGTGTATGGCTGATATAACATTAAGAAATGTATCAGCATACTTTCAGTAGATTGATAAAAATGAAAGACTATATGATATGAACAAGCGTCAAGAGTGTTTGATAATATATAGAAGCCATTCTTGATTTAAACACACAGAAAAAGAAAAGAACAAACAGAGACAGGGAGAAACTTTAAACATAAATGAGAGCATTTGACTGAAACCAGTAAGTAACACACATTAGAGTGAAATACTAAAAGCATGCCCATAATGAGTAACAAGACAAAGATGAATATTGAACTACTTTTATTCACCATTATTACTTGCAGCTTTCAGCTAATGCAATGAAAAAATACACTGCTTTTCAGCTAGCATAATGCTATGCCTAGAAAATATAAGAAGCAACCGAACATCTACATCTATTAGAATAAGAAAAATCAATAAAGTGACGAGATAAAACAAATATTGTAACAGAAACAGTTTCTTTTTAACTAAGAAATGTAAATAAAAGATAAATGGGGTGGGGTAGTTTATAATAGTAACAATAATATAATTGCCAGGGAATAAATCAAAATTATAAGAATGTATATGATTGTAATAAAACTGACGTGCGTGAATAAAAAATCATATGCCACTGTGATGGAAGATATAATGTCATAAAGGTATCAATTTTTTATAATATGCAAGCATAATGTAGTTCTACTTAAGATTCTGGTGCAGTTTTAAGAAAATGATAAAATTATTCTAAAATTCATGGAAAGAACAAATGTAAAAAAATTATAAATAAAATTGTTTAAAAAGGAAGGAGGAAAAGATTTGTCTAGTCATATATTTAAAGTATTATAAAGGAACTCATTTTTTAAAAGCATAACACAAGGGCAAAAAGAGAAGACTTACGGGGATTGTCTGCAAAATGTAAAAAGCAGGTATCTTTTGGCTCAATAATTCTAATGTAAGCAATTTATTCAAGAATATGATTTTTAAGGCCGGGCGCGGTGGCTCATGCCTGTAATCCCAGCACTTTGGGAGGCCGAGGGGGCTGGATCACGAGGTCAGGAGATTGACACAATCCTGGCTAACACAGTGAAAACCCGTCTCTACTAAAAAGAAAATACAAAAACGTAGCCGGGCATCGCAGTGCGCGCCTGTAGTCCCAGCTACTTGGAAGGCTGAGGCTGTAGAATGGCATGAACCTGGGAGGCGGAGCTTTCAGTGAGCCGAGATCACGCCACTGCACTCCAGCCTGGGAGACACAGTGAAGACTCTGTCTCAAACAAACAAACAAACAAACAAACAAAACCAAAAGAATATGACTTTTAAAACATACCCACCTACCCTCCCTCACACACCTGTTCACTAAACTATAGTGACAGGAAAAGAATGGGAACAACAGACTATAAAAGAGGCCCAATGGTTAAGTAAATTAACACAAAAATTCATGGTAAAATATCATGCTGTTATTTAGAAAGAATAAGGCAGATCTACAGTGACAGAGTTCAGAACATGCTAAAATAAAAAGGACAAAATATAGCACGCTGGCATTTATATTTTGTTATTCCTAACAAGCCCCTTTCAACCACACCTGCGTTTATGTTAATGAGGTAACTTCTGGAAATCCCCTAAAGATGGGGGCTGGTTGAGAGAAAAGCCAGCCATATGATTAGAGGGTGGGACTTTAAGCTCCACCCCCTCAACCTCTGGGGAACAGAGAACTGAAGACTGACTTAATCACCAACAGCCAATGATTTAATCAATCGTGCCAATGTAATGAAGCTTTCACAAAAACTCAAAAGCACAGCATTCTGAGAGCTTTTGGGTTGGTGAAGAAGAATGCACCCACGTGCAAGGAGGGTGCTATACTGCAAACTCCATGGGGACAGAAGCTCCTGTACTCAGGACCTCATCCTATGTGTCATTTCAACTAGCTGCTCATCTGTATCCTTTAGGATACCCTTCATAATAAATCAATACTAGTAAGTAATATTTCCCTGACTTTTGTGAGTCATTCTGGCCAATTATCACACCCAAGGAGAGGGTTGTGGGAGCCCCCTCATTTGCTAAAGCCAGTAGGCCAGAAGTCAGAAGGATGTAATCTAGTAGAGGTTAGGGGTTGGGGTGGAGAGAGTAAGCAGTGTTACAGATGAAACAAGATTGGTTATAAGTTGGCAGCTGCTGAAGATAGATGAATTATATGTCAGGGTTCATTATACTATTTACTTTAGTGTTTAAATTTCACCATAATTAAATACATGCATACAATTATCAACTTTAGTATTTCATTTGCTTCTTGAAATTCAGATGCCACTAATTCAAAATGATCTCACTGTCCCCTCCCTCTTAAAAAGGTATTTGATAATAGTTGTTCTATGCAATCAACATTGCTATATATATATATATATATATATATAGAGAGAGAGAGAGAGAGAGAGAGAGAGAGAGAGAGAAGTTTGATAAGTTACTCCACATCCCATAAAGTACTGCTGGCTAGCATAAACGTTAGGTTACGTTTAAGAACATATTCACCCTATAAAAATTAAGAAAAAAAATGCTGGATTAGTCCATCTCATAAAGAATTATTAAAGCCCAAAATCCAGCAATGCTTTTGTCAAAAAAAAGTGTTCCTCCTTCCCTGATGGCCTTACAAGTACAGCCATGTGCCACATCACAATGCTTCAGCCAAGAGAGGACCACATATATGATAGTAATCCCATAAGATTATAATACTGTGTTTTTACTGTACCTTTTCTATGTTTAGATACACAAATACTTAGCATTGCGTTACAACTGCCTAAGCTACTTAGTATGACAACATGCTGTACAGGTTTGTAACCTAGGAGTACATAGCCTCAGTGTGTAGTAGGCTTTACCATCTAGGTTTGGGTAAGTATACTCTATGATGTCTGCACAAAGATGAAATCCCCTAAGGACACATTTCTCAGAACACTTCCCTGGCATTAACTGATGTATAACTGTATATATAAATAGCCAGCATATAGTTGGCAATCTTTGCTTTCCAAGGATCCAAAACTACCTTCAGAAAATCTACATATACATACCATTGTCATCAGCTGAAAATTTAAAAGGCGAGTTTGAAGGAGAGGAAGATGACCATGCATCTCTATGCTTTCAAGGCCCCAAGGGCTTTTCAAGGCTACAATTAAATGTGGCTTGTTGTATACTGACTGATAGAGGAGATCTGAATTATTCCCTAGCTGGTGCTGCATTAAACCATTTTTCACTAGAATTCCTTCTTCCAGACAGAGCAATACAAGCTCTGCTGCCAGGTAAATGTCCTGGGAGAAACTGTTCTATCACGTAACAGATCAGGAAGTAAATTTTCATTTCACAGAGGAGTCCTTTGAGGCATATTTTAATTTTCCTTCTGAAAACACACCCAGTATATCCTCTTCCCTTCTAAAAATCTCTCTTGCGAGTGCGCACTCTCTCTCTCACTCACACACACATAGTCTATAATTAGGCTCTAGTTTAAAATGACCCATTGAAGTGGAATAATAAATAATGCACCTCATCATCGGCCTGTCGCAACCGGGCAACAGCATAACGCCTCACTGTTGGGTTGGTGTAATGAGAGGATAACAGCTCCAAGGAGTCCTCTACGTCCATCGGCTTCCATTTTCCCAGAAGTTCCAAGGCCTGTTTGGCCTCTTGAGGTAGATCCCAATTAACACATTTCAAGAATTTTGTCAAGGCCTAAAATCAGAAAATATTTAAAAATTAGAAATAGCCTATTTCCTGGGATAGAGAAGGTGATTAGGCAGAGTTCCACTTGGTCCTAATGACAGAGCCACGGAGTCAGTGATAGACTCCTTGTGTAAACACTAAATGAAGTTATACATACGATCTTACAGAAGCACTGCAGGACACAAAAAAAGCATGCTCCCTGTATCTTTATATTTTCCAGGGCAAATCATTTGCGAGCACTATGAATTTTTAAATTTGTTTTGGTTTTTCTTCATTTTGCTATTGTTATTTTAAAATACTGCAGGTCTCAAGACATAGAAATAGCTGAGGCATTTCTCACAAACTCTAAGATGCCTTAGAGAAAACCTACATTTTACAACAGAAAATACTGCAACCACTGAATGAAAGGGCCAGAAACCATTCCAGGGCAAAAATTCCCACCACTAGCTTCACTCTCAACCACCTCCCTAGAGTATGACCACTGGCTTTCACAGATACTTAAACATGAAGACTCAAACAATGTGGAGTATGTAGGTATCTCTGTGAAGTAACTACTTTAACAGATAGGCAATCCAACAAAACCTCAAAGCACAAGCATAAAAATGGGTAAGTACAGAAACAGCAGCAAACAGTCTATGATTCGTCTGGTTGTACATCTTTCTGAAACCTCACTTCTTTGAATAGGCAGCACATGGAAGTTTTCACAAGACTGTCAGTTAAGCCAATAGTCTTGGAGTATATCACTCATTGCACAGTAAGTGCTCTTTTAAGAAAGGTACGTACTTCTTGGCCAGGTGTGGTGGCTCATGCCTGTAATCCCAGCACTTTGAGATACCTAGGCTGGAGAACTGCTTGAGGCCAGGAATTCAAGACCAGCCTGGGCAACATAGCAAGACCCCATCTCTACAAAAATAAAAGAAAATAAAGAAAAGCATATACTTGCTTTCCATAAAAAGCAATGCTTATTGCTGGGTCTCAAAGGCAACACTTTCCTGGCTGAACCCAAGATGTTTTCTTCTTCTTTGTCTTCCTCTGTTGCTATTTGTTGAAAAATAGGTAACTTGAAAATGTAAGACTCCTGCTCTGCCCAACCAAAATCTTTTTATTAGTAAACTAATCAATTTCTCAAGAAAATGTCTACTTGGACAACAAAACACAATGTCTGTTAGTATGACACTAAATGAACCTTCATAGCCATCCCCTAAATTATTCTTGATTTTACTAAATTAAGAAAAAAGGCCTATAGAGATTGTCTAGTTCAATGCTTAAATCATATATAACCTCAGCAAAGATAAATGGCTTGCCCATCACCTCACAATGGTGCATGAGCTAGACGTAGAACCCAGGTTCACCAATTCTCAGCCCCACACTTCTTCCACCAGATGGTGCTTTGTTACCATTAAGGCGCTCCATCCCCTAGTTAGCCCCATTCCCCCTGGAGCCATTACTCTGCCAACACTAATCTCCTGAATCTATTCCAGTCTGTTTCAATTATTTCCTAGCAGTATCTCCTGTATCTGTCCTCAGCCTGATTTCTCATTATATCACACATCTGGAGTTGGACAGAACCTTCTAGCTAAGAACCTAAATACCGGTTTCTCTTCTAATCATTTCATACATACTCTTAGAGAAGCTCAAGTTGGAAGTGATCTTAGCACAAATTTCCTATTGTTAGCAGAAATACCCCACAACACGAACGCCAAAAAGAGACCCAGTATTTACTTAAGCGACTCGAGGAACTAATTTCCAAAACAGCCATTATATTCATAGAAAGCTAAGCCAGTTTTGTTTTGTTTGGATTTTAACTATAATGAACGAAAATACAAAAATGTCTTCATATTGCTTTTTCCAATTGGTTAGTTTCATTCTTTAGAGAGAATGAGAGTAAATTTAGCTCCATATGATGTGGACAACCTTTCCAATATTTGAAAAGTTAACAATATTGTTACAAAGTGGTTTTGACTAGATGATAGGACACTCTAGTTTGTAAATAAACAAATAAATAACCTTGGCTTCTTTCTCAAAACATTTCATTGCTACCACTTACCACAATGCAAACCTGTTTCATTAAACTCTCATTGCCCTTCCATGCTTCAGCCCAGTTAACTTATATGAACAATGTCTCTAACCCCTGTAACTCTTCATCAAAATAGGGTATCATCTACTCTACAGCCGTCTTGTCGAAAACTCAAGTTTTACAGGAAGTTTTCAGCAACTTTCAGCTATTCCTTTAGAAGCTGGCTCAATTTTACTACTGTCATTTAAATGATGTTCTTCTAACTGCCAAAGTTTTTGTGGGCATTTTTATCTCTATAGCTGGAGTCTGTATTCCCCCAAGGACAGCTGTCCATTTCCTCTACACCTCCTGCACACCATTTAGTATAATGCTCCCTTTCCGTATAGAACACAGATTGCCCTACTAACTTATTCCATGAATTTATTTTCCACTTCTAAAATGTATTTCTAGGTTGAATGTGGAAACAAAGCAATACTTCTTAAATAATGACAGTGAAAGCTTTTCCATTTCACAGTACATCAGCAGTCTTAATAGAAATGTGCAGCTATGTACTTATTATAAGCAAATCTTGTAGCATGCCGATGTACTCAATTCAATAACTGAAACAATCTAAAACCTAGATTCTCCGATTTATAGACTTATTAGCAAGATTTATGGAGTATGCTGCTGCCAAAGAACATAAGGCACTGTACAAAGAATTTCACAACTTTTTAATGTTACAAATGTAAACAAGGAGCCAACAGAATGAAGAAGAAAACAAGGGGTCAAAGAATAAGAAAGACAAAAACTAAGAATTTGAAGACAGCAATAATAATGGCCTTTTTAAATAACCCTAGGTCTTTTAAAGATGCTTTACTGATCCATGTAGGATTAAAGAGCAATTCTCTCTCTCTCTGGAACTTCCATAGATTACTGGAGAGCACAGACTGTAGAGCCAGGGTGTTTGGGTTCCAATGATAATTCCTGGCTCCATCAATTATTACCTGATTAAACTGAAGCATACTATTTAACTTTCAAGAGACCTTTCTCATAGGCTTGCTGTGAAGATTAAGTTAATGAATATAAAATGTTTGTGACAGTATCCTATATATAGAGTAAATAATTAGTTTATTATCAGTCATTATTTTTATTCTATTTCTGATGTTGACATCAAATTTTAGCTTTACTATACGTATTACTATGTTTTATTCCCTTTGATCTGAAAATCACCTGTTATCGCCTATTCTTAGAATCATAATCACCTCAGAACTGAAAAATACTATATCTCGTATATATATTTCTAATTTAAACTTCTACCAATTAAATTCTTAGAAATTTCTATTTTGCTGCTTTTCCAATGCTTTTGATTCCAAATACTCAAACATGAAAACACCTCATTCGTTTCTTCCCACCTGCCATATATCCTTACTGATATGATGTGGCTGTGTCCCCACCCAAATCTCATCTTCAGTTCCCACGTGTTGTGAGAGAGACCTGAAGGGAGGTAACTGAATCATTGGGGCAGGTCTTTCTCACGCTGTTCTCATGATAGTGAATAAGTCTCATGAGATCTGATGACTACATAAGGGGGAGTTTCCTTCCACAAGCTCTCTTTGCTTGCTGCCATCCACATAAGACATGACTTGCTCCTCTTTGCCTTCCATCACAATTGTGAGGCCTCCCCAGCCACATGAAATTGTAAGTCCATTAAAACTCTTTTTCTTCCCAGGCTCAGGTATCTCTTTATCAGCAGTGTGAAAACGGACTAATACAGTAAATTGGTACCAGAAGTGGGGTATGAACGCACAACGATACAAATCCATCAGGTTCAGGCCTAACCCCTGGTCATTTTCTATGAGTCAACTTACTTGTATAGCTCCTTCTCCACCCCTTGCCCTCCAAAACTGTTCTCTCAGTCAGTATATGAGCCTCCTAATTATGTCACTTTTTTCATTTTCTGCTCTGCTCCTATCTACCCTAGTTTTTACTCCTTAAAATATCACTTGTTAGGCTAGTGTGCTGACTCACATCTGTAATCCCAGCACTTTGGGAGGCCGAGGCAGGTTGATCACCTGAGGTCAAGACCAGGCTGACCAACATGGTGAAACCCCATCTCTACTGAAAAGACAAAATTAGCCGGTGTGGCGGTACATGCCTGTAATCCCAGCTACTTGGGAGGCTGAGGCAAGAGAATCACCTGAACCTGGGAGCGGGAGGTTGCAGTGCGCCGAGATCGCATCATTACACTCCAGCCTGGGCAACAAGAGTGAAACTCTGTCTCCAAAGAAAAAAAAAAAGAGAGAAATAAACTATCACTTGTTAATACACATTTTCCTGCTTTAGTAGCTTCCTGTTGCCAGTAAAATTGAATTCCTAAGGGTATAATTTGAGGCTCATCACAATCTGATGCCATCTTTTCTATTTCATAACCATTCATGCAAAACTCTGTCTCCTGAACCTAACAGCCTACCTTACTCATGTTTTCCTTCCCCATAAAAAAATGATCACCAAGTAAAAAATGCTATCAAAGTCTGCTCACACTTTAAGGGCAATCTTTGTTCTGTGAAACTTTCCTCATATCATAGCACACTGATCTTGTCATCCTCCACATTTCTATTATACTAATAACCTACATGTTTATTAAGACAGTGACCCTTAATCAATTACTATGTTATACTTCCTAATTTTAATTATGTGTAAATATTCTGACCCCGAAACAGTTTTAATTTATTTGAATACAAGGACATGATACCTGAAACCTCATAGTCTTATATAATGCTAGGCCAAGAGGTGATTTAATAAATACTTGCTGAACTGAATTCATTTATCCCATGGGTCACCATCAACTTCTTGTCAGGAGACACAAATATGATGACTGTCCTCATGTCACTGTCTCAGAAACAGCCTTATAAGAATACTCAGTGCATCACTATTACCTTCACTATATGTGATTCTTTCAACTGCTTTTTTTCCCCCAAGCATAATCAAAAGGCATGGAATTAATTTAAATTAGTATTTTTATAAGAAGAAAGTCCATTGTAAAAGCTATTAGGTTGGTGCAAAAGTAACTGCAGTTTTTGTCAAATAGTTTTGAAAAATTACAATATTCACATTTCAGGTTCCACAGAAATGAGTCACTTCCTATATGCTATAAACTACGAATTGGAAAATATTTCATAAATTTAAATGGTAACAAATTTAATTGAACAAAGTTATTACTATGAACTTTCTGGGTACAACATCAAGTCCTGACTAGAAGGTTTTCATCTGAAACACTTAAGACAGGTCATTAAGAAAAAAAAAAAAAAAAAAGGGCAGAAAGACAAAATTTAATTAAAAAATAAAAAGTATAACTTTGTAAGAACCAATTTCCACCAATGTGTTTTCTGAGCACTGCCTTCTCTCTAGGAAAGCTTTTCAGCCCCAGGGCCCAAATATCAAGTAACCGAAATCACAATTTCTGAGACTCTGATGCTAAAAGAATTTCTTTCTGTAAATAAATTAATGGATGCAGTATGAGAGTATCCGTTTTTCACAAAATCCATTTGAAATTATTACAAGGTTACAAATGTGGCTGTGTAAATAATTCCTTTGGTCACTTCAAGGCCTATATATATTTGGTTTACTCCAAAGTGACTTCTGAACACTAAAACATATTGTTCACTCTACCCTAGTGGTCATAAGAATTCTATAATATGTCCTGAGAATTGAAGTTTCATCACTCACCTTTTGAAAACTTGAAATCAACTAGTTAGATGAAACTTGTCACACACTTTATATCACTTGAACATTTTATTTCTTTTGCACATATATAGAAGTAATTGAATTTCGGTGGGAAGTGACTACTTGTTTAAACAAATAATTTTTCTTGCAAACCTTTCTATCTAAAAAAGTTCTGCTCTGCAAATCTACTCCTATATGCTTCTTAAACCTATACATTCTAACAGGTTCAATTCAATATCTAGCTGTGTATTTTAAACGACACTGAGCTGCATTCAAGATGCAATTTCTGTGACCAAGGTTATTCTTCATTTAACACAGTATCATGACAATAACTCAATCTTTTAATAAAACACAAATCACAAACCTGTGTTTCTGTTGGTATTTCCTTTTGTTCAGCGATTAAGAGAATCATACTCAAAGCTACAGTAAATTAAAAATTATTCTCTCATTCTTATTATGGATATAAAGAAGAACAAATATGATTCATTTACAAAGAACTTCTGAAGGCATCAATAAATGACAAAGCAGAAAAGCTGAAGAGTTGAGATGAGCTGCAACTGCATGTTTATCTTTACTTTAGAAACTAAAGAAAGGACATTTGGTTCCGAAAAACAACTTAAAATAGTAGTTAAAGACCATATCACAAGATTATAAAACATACCAATTCATTCATTCTCATAAAAATACGTAACAGCTTCCTGAACAGATATTAATTTCCCTAACGCTTCTCTGCTGTTCCCCTAATGCATTTCAGGGTTCCTGCTAAGGCATGTGCATGATGTTGAAAATGTTTTCTCTATAATTCTCTTTTCTATGTCTTCACTGACTTTCTTTTCTTCTAATTCGTTGATGCAAGCATATTAAGAGGCTGCATGTATAAGCTTTGTGAGTCTGCATAGGCCCCCTAATCTTTCTCAGGCTCAAGTTTCCTCATCTGTAGAACAGTTACAGTAATACATACATTGTGGGGTTGTTATGGGATTTAAAGAATTCCTGGTACATAGTATCTGCTTAAAAAATGCTGGCTATTATTATGATACCTTAAGAGGTACCCCTTGGCTCTCTGTTTTAAGATTTTACAGACTATTCTAAAAACTAGGAGACAAAGTTCACAATCACATGATCGTCTTACATTAAATATGAGGAAACTAAAGCTTATACAGGCAAAGTAATTTGCCTGTAGTCAAAAAGCTTCTTAGGGGCAATAGTAAAACTCAAAACTAAGTGTCCAAAGACTTCAGGTTAGTGATGACTACTTCACCACAATTCTCTCTCCAGAAACCTTATCCACTCCATGGTTTTATTACAGGAAGCAAATGTCTAGCTTTGACCTACCCGTTATCCCGTATGCCTACCTCTATGCTACTCCACCAACTGAATTCCCACAACTCAAATTATATTTCTCATACTCTCTCTCTAGCCACATCTCATCTAGAATTCTGTAGTTTCATTATTATAATAGCATACATATTTTCCGAGTCACCCAGGTTCAAAGAGGTAAGAAGAAGAGAACCAGCATTTACTCTGCACCTACTATGCATCAGATACTCTACCAGGTTACTTACCTGTATTATCTTACTTGTGAGAAAGAACTGTCTCCACTAGAATAATAAGGACACTAAGCTGCCAAAGTAAGTTGCCTCATCCTACCAAACAAGCGTTAAGATGTACTTCTGGAAAATGAACCCAAGTCTCTCTGACTTCAAAACCCATTCAGACATTGCCTATGAGTCAACAAACAGGTACATATGTCTTTGTATGCAGACTTTTATAATTTTTTTAAAAAATGGAGTATCATATACAGTGCTCTGTAACTTTAAAGTGACAATAATGATTTCCATGGCATTCTCCTCATCTTGATCATTAATAACAAAGTTGGTAGATAAATTTGATACATGAAAGTATTTAAGACACTCACTTTTTCTTGATTTGTAAGATAATATCTAAACTTCCAAACAAGATCTTGTTCTTCATATGTAAGTTGTTTGGTTGGTGGATAACTCACAATAATCTAAAACAGAAAAAGAAAAAGAACTAATTTTGTCAACCATACATGTCCTATATATTTCCATTTCACTTAATATTTTTCATTTATTTAAATAATTCTATACTACAATTATTATACAAACAAGGAAAATGTAAACACAGTCAAGTAGGCCTTAAATTTGCTATAATTATGTGTCCAAAATGCAGTTTAAAGGAGAAGAACAGAAGGTCATATTCCATAGGTAAATATTTAACTGGAGAGTTCATTTAATTCAACCAGAAACAAAACGTGGCAAAATAACAATGTCCCCTACCAGAAAAAGGAAAAATGTGCACACAATAAATTCTTTTAAAGTCAATGCATACAACAAGGCATGTGTACACACTAAGTCCTCTCTCAGGCAATGTCTTAGGGCCAGCTTCTAAGAATACTATCGATTGACATGAAAGAATATAGTATTTGCAGTTCTGTCTCCAGAGATAATAAATTTATGGAAAGCCCCAAATGATAACAGAACTGCTGATCTGTGAAATTATGAACATGATGCAGGATTCATCAACCTGGAGAAAATGTGCATCTAAATAATTTTTAAGTGAGGTGATAGCTATCAGCTTCAACTAAAACATCCATTTAACTATTTTTAAATTAACATTGCATAATTCTCTTACATTTAACTGATCTCTTGTGGCAGCATTGGGTTTGAGATCATGGTCAGAAGGTCCACTTCTTAAACTCCGGGCAAGCTTGTGGTGTTTGCTCTCCACTAAATTCTCCTATAAATTATTTTAAAATATTGACAACGTAAACTTCACCAAAAGGAAATTTCAACAGCTATTCATAAATAGAAAAGGTACTTAGAAGCATTTAATAATATTTAACATTTTATTCTGATCCAACTTTAGCAGTCTTCTACATATCTTAAAAATATGTATCCTTCTCAAGACTGGGAAACTAAGTATGCTTTAAACTCCACTAGTCCCATAATATACACATGTCATTGAAGCTTCTTAAAACATCTTCCCTTCACTCTCCACATATTCAAGGTTTCCATATCCTCTAACCAGTCAAATATCACCATCACTGTAAAATCTTCCCTGACAACACAGACTAAAGCATTTCTTCCTCCTATCAGCTACTAATGACCCTGTGATGTCACTGTATTATCACCGTAGCAGTTATTTAAGCTATCAGTCACTGAGGGCAAGGACAATAATCACAACCCTTGAATATACACATCTGGTGCTATTTTACCCATGGACAAAATTATTAGTTTTAACCACACTGTCATTGCCTAAAACAAGATATAAATTTATATTATTTATTTCTTATTGGATGTGTGAATTGTCTGTTTACGTCATGTTCCTAATTTTTTTATTGGCTTTATGGTCCTTTGTCCTTCATTTTTAAGAGTTCTTTATATACCAGCCTTAATATATCTGTAATGTATGTAGTTAAGTATTTTCTCCCAGTTTGTTAACTGTCCTCTGGCTTTGTTGGTCTCTTCAGCCATGTAATTTTAAAAATTTAGTTACATTTATCAATCATTTATTTTATTGTCTCTGGATTCTGAGTCACAGTAAAAATGTCTTTCCCTACCCTGACAGTAAAATACTAGTATGGTTTCTTTTTTTGAGACAGGATCTTGCTCTGTTGACCAAACTGGAGTACACTGGCATGATTACAGCTCACTGCAGCCTTGACCTCCTGAGTTCATGCAATCCTCCTATCTCAACCTCCCAAGTAGCTAGGACTACAGGTACATGCCACTACCTGGCTATTTTATTTTTTGTAGAGATGGGGTCTCCTTAAGTTGCCCCAACTGGTCTAGAATTCATGGGCTCAAGTGATCCTCCTGCCTCGGTCTCTCAAAAGTGTTAAGATTACAAGCATGAGCCACCATGCTTGGCCTAGTTTCATTTCCTAACATTTACATTACAGATCCATTTGGAGTTTATTCCTATGTATGGTATGAGGTATGGATATAATTTTAGGGTTTTTTTCCAAATTAATTCCATTCCTCAGCCTTAAGACTTAGAGAAGAAATGCCACCTTTATCATATACTAGATTTCCATACATACTTGGATGTATTTCTGGGCTTTTAATTCTGTTCAACCAGTATATTGGTGTACATATATGTGTCAGTACCACATTATTGTAATTATAGTCTGTTTTATTGTCAGATACAGCTGTATATCATCTCAGTCCCACCCAAAGTTTACATTTAAAATGTGTTTCTCTGTTTAACAAATAACTACGACTACAGGCTGAACTGAATTTCTTCATACTTAGTGTGTGCTCTGAATATCAAAAATGTAAAATATAATGTGATTTTATACTGAAAATTCAGTGCCAATTTGATATATATTAACTGGATTCTACTATACTATGTATAGGAACTGTCAAGGTCTTTAGAATGTTCCTACTAGATCCTCAAATGGCCTTTTCTTTTTAACTTTTTATACTCTACTTTCCCCACTGCCCATCTCTTCCTTTGATATTAGGCCATCAGCCAGCCATTCCTGCTTTCATGACCTGTACTTATCTCAATCATCATGTTTTCATCATCCAATGCCCCAATTTTAATCCACTTTGGTCTGATGAGGAAGGTAACAAATCTAATTAGAAATGAATAAAATTAGAACAAAAAGAGTTGGAATGATGTAAATGAACTGTAACTGTGAAAATCATGGTATCTACTGTGCTGCTAAAAGGAGTTTGTGCCTACACGTTTGTAATTCTAAAGTCATCTAATTAAACCTCTTTTGCACTGTAGGAATTCTTATCCTCATAGCCCTGAGAGAAAGCTATCATCTCAAAAATTCGTTAATAAGAAGTCATCCCACCATCATCCAAGTTACCATGTTCCAAATTGAATAGTTCTAGGGATACAGCAATCTTCCCTACTTTCCAACAAATGGGTCTCCCTAAAATTTTGATGCATTCATTCTAGTTATAGAATCCTCCTGTAATATGCAAATTCTCCTTCCGTATGATGACAATCTTTCAAATACCAGTTCTGTCAAGTCTTCACTTCAAGATTACATCCCCCCAACCTGAAGAAAGAAAAAAAAAGGACTATACTGCCTAGCTCTTTCAGCAAATCAAATAAAATGGATGCCCAACCCTACTCTACCCTTACCTTAGTTTTAGGATGTCGATATTCCTCATAAAATTCCATCAGAAACAGAGTCTAGATGCTAAAGTGAATTTATGAATCACTTTTATGTAACAGAGGCAGTTACATATTACTTTATTTAAAGAAAGTACATGATGTGGCTAACTCACAATTACTCTGAAGAAAAGCACTTTCATAAAAAAATTTGCACAATAACTTACCATAGACATCTGGGGGTCAGGAACTTTCACTAATTCAAAACTTGTTAAAATTGGAGATGATTCATCACCGTCCTAGATTACAGAGCAATAATTTTTTTAATAAAGAAATTTAATCCAATAGGAAACAGTATATGATGTACACGCCAATGTATTTTAATTCTATTTGATGAGCATCATTCTTACCTCTAAAGAAATCCTTATCTTCTTCTAACAATATTATAAAATGCATATCCACTTTGTACCTCTCTTTGGTTGATTATGAAATTATTTTGAGAAAAACTCTAACAAAACTGTTACTAAAGTTTTAGACATACGAGGTCTGGAAATTAGATGGTTTTGAGTTGTTCCTTTTCTTTTAAACTTTGTTCATATAATAACAGTGGATTTTTAAAAACGTGCTAATTTTCAAACTCAGAACAAGAAAGCACAGACTATATGTAAAATATGGCACAATGGATGTGTTGCACCACTTGCAAAAACTAAGTGATAATTTTTCAAGGTATCACAACTGAGATCCATTCAAAGGGCAGAATTTTAAGTGTAGGGTTAATATTACTCAAATTTATACACAGCCAGAGAATTAACAACATTGTTTCTCAAAGGTACATCTGCTCAACATAATCTAAACTTGAATAATAAAATCAATCAATCAGTTTTTCAGAAATAAAGCCATCCTATTTTGTTGGTATTATCACCTTTGAAGAATGTTGGCTTTTATTTTTATCCAATGCGAGAAAGGTAATTCAACATAAAAATGTCACTGCCAAATATACTGGAAAAAGGCTAAACTAATTAAGGTCAAAATTCACTTTCTCATGATTATATACCTAGCATCAAGCTTTTCTGTCAATTTCCAAATGCTAACATGTTTTCAGTTTTAAACACGGGCAACAAACTCAGGAGAGACTGAAAGCAGGGAAGCACTGTGACTTTACTTCAGTTCAGTAATTGAGTCTTACAGAAAACCACAAATTCCCACAGCCGTTGTTTAACAGGCTTGTTCTCAGTCACAACACCAGAAAACACATTTATCAGCCCAACTGTGACAAGTAATCTTCACTAAGGCTATCTGTCACAAAAGACAGGTGACAAGAAAGTCTATTTCCATTAGATTCAATACCCTGGCCCAGCAATCTTTACACTAAGTGGAAATATGACAGGGTGAGTAGACGGGCATTAATTTATGAGCAATTTTCAGGAAGTGGTAGAAAGGGGTCAAGAACCTTTTCAAAAATACTTGAAATTCTTCTAATTTCTATTCTGTTATTATTTCATCTGCTATCAAAGCTGTCTTTCAAAGGATCCTTCACATCTACGACGTTTCAAAGTATCTTCTCCATTAGCATGTTTTTGCAATACAAACTCTATGTGGGCAGAAAATACTGCTTTTAATGAAATGATATATAGTATAAAATATAAAATACGATTTTATTAAAATGCACTGGTGACAGAACAGTTTCACTCACATTTCCCTTTTTTGATCTATTTTTTCTAATAAATTAATAAACAGTATTAAATAATCTATCCGAGGAGTACCATTTATAAAATAAAAGGCAGAAACAAGTTAACACTTCCTAGTCTTTTACTAACATGGAAGGGATATAAGTTAAAGACAAAAATATGAACAGTAACTTGAAAAAAGATCATAAATAAATGGTAAAAACTCAAAACTTCATTATGAAAACCTTTCCAACAGTAATTTATAAAAGTATATATATTTTAAAAATCACTTGTGACAGCTTTAATAAACAATAAAATGTAAATTTAATTTAAAAGGACTGCTTCTAATGAACAAATACACTGCATATCAGCTTGGTCATACGCTAGAAGAAATATTAATCTATTAATCTACTACTATGCCATGTATCAAAAGTCTGTCATCATTTACGCTGAGTTAACATTTGTCGACTATTAACACAATAACAGAAGACATTTTATGTGGTTTCAAACTATGCATACTTTTTAAAATTTTTTTATATTTATTTTAAATAAAGATGAAGTCTCGCCATGTTGCCCAGGCGGGTCTCAAACTCCTGGGCTCTAGTAATCTTCCTGCACAGTCAACCACAGTGCTGGGATTACAGGCATGAGCCACCATACCTGGCCTGCATACAATCATTTTCTGTAGTACTTAAATATATAATTATTTCTGTAGTACTCAAAAGAAGCACCTTCTACAAAAATATAAGGAAGATACTTTCAAGTAGGTACGTACTAAACACAGAACTACTTTCTGTAGCATAATGGGCAGAACAAAGCAAATCTATAACTGCATATTTGTTATCACCCAGCCTGATGGTAAAATTGTTGCCTGAATTTTGCATCTGCTGTACTAATAAATGAACATTTCTGAAGTATTTCATAAGCATACGTTAGTGAGGGCCACATACAGACAATACACATACACTCAAATAACAAACAGACTCTTAACTTTCAATAAATAGCCTACCACTTAGAAATATAATTTCCCCCTTTCATTTTTTCAATAAATACTATTAGTAAATAAAGTCATTACTTAGTGTCCTACTTGCCAATTTGCAGAACAATTAATCACAAAGTTTTTAATCACTTGCATACTTATTGAATTCTGTAACCCAGAACTGCATTACATGAGTGATCGGCTTTTGTAATCTTGTTGTAGTTATACGATTTAATTTGTGTATACATAAACAGCTGCTGCTGACAGCTGTCTGATGCTACCCTGCAACCAAATAATTCATCCCAGCAGGAACAACAGTAATACTTTTTAACGTTTCCTCTCCCCTCTAGAGATCAAAAACAGTTCCAAGGCAAATACCTTTTCATAATAAACAATACCATATTCCTTATCATCACACTTGACACATCGAAACTCAACCATCAGGTACATGAAATTAGAACTTCGTTTTTCACTCTGAAAAAGAAAAAAATGATTTTCATGAAAAATGATTATTTTCAACATTCTCTTAAAGGATCAGTGTGCATCATTTTTCCCAATTCAGTAACACACGTATCTATCAAATACAAGTCAAAACATAACACATTTTTATTTTATTATATACATGTAGTGTGTTTTACACAGCACTATTATTTTATTACAGACAGCACTACTGTTTATTCAGTGGTGTCTACCATGCACTTATAACTGCTTTCTCAAATTGAACATTTTTGGTGTATTCTTTGGGTTTATAATCTTGAAGGTATTTTGCACACATGTTCATGACAACTATTTTATTTCAAAAAAAAAAAGAATGGTTTGTCCAACAACTGTAAGCTAAGTTCACCCTTAACCTATATGACTAAACTATAGAAATCAATATATGTAACAAAAATCAAAAATAAAAAAAGTGTGCAACCTAAGAAAAGAGACCATTTGAGTTTACCAAGTATAGCCTTTACAAGTTTCTCACAATTTATAAATGGTCTTAAAATGATTTGTCACTTATAAATTTTTATCCACACTTTAAATATACTGTGGAATAATTACTTCTTGTTCCAACATAAAAAACATTTATATAATTGTGTCCCCTTTAAAATAAAAAAGCAAACATGATCACATGTCACTTAACAACAGGTACACATTCTGAGAAATGCATCATTAGGCAGTTTAGTCGTGTGAACACCATGAAGTATAAACACACAAATCTAGATGGTATAGCCTACCACACACCTAGGTTATATGGTATAGCCTATTACCCCTAGGCTACAAACTTGTTACTTCAGGTTAATTCAGGTTACTGTACTGAATACTGTGGGCACCTGTAACACAACAGTTAAGCACCTGTATATCTAAACATACCTAAAAGAGAAAAGGTACAGTAAAAATAAAGTACTATAATCTTATGGAAGCACCACTGTACATGTGATCTGTGGTTGAACGAAATGATGTGATGAGGCACATGACTGTATTAGGGTGATGATGAAGTGAAAATACAATGAAGTCTAAAGGGGTAATTAGCCTTGACCCAAAACACCTGTAAAAATGGTTTGAGCTCTAATATGTAAAATCACCAGGCATGGTGGCTCACATCTGTAATCCTAGCACTTTGGGAGGCAGAGGTGGGAGGACTGCTTGAAGCCAGGAGTTTGAGACTATCCTGGGCAACAGAGCCAGACTCTACAAAAAACTCTGAGACTATCCTGGGCAATACAGGCAGTTTGAGACTATCCTGGGCAACAGAGCCAGACTCTACAAAAAACTCTGAGACTATCCTGGGCAATACAGGCAGTTTGAGACTATCCTGGGCAATAGAACTAAACTCTACAAAAAACTTTAAAAATATTAGCCAGGCCTGTAGTCCTAGCAAGCTGGGAAGCTGAGGCAGGAGGACTGCCTGAATCCAGAAGTTTGAGGCTGCACTGGGCATACCAGGGTAATCCAGTCTGGGTGACAGAGCAAAACCTTGTCTCAAAAGAGAAAAAAAAGAAATGATAATAAATAATAAAGGTCTGAAGAGGTTACTTACATTATTCAGCTTTACAAAACATATTATAGTCTATTTTGGTAATGGTAATAGGGTGGTAATGGTAATTTCTTTTAAAGAAATTAAAATGTGAAAATATGAAAAAGGCTGGGCAAAGCAAACTCTAACATTACATTTTCCATACCCAGTGATATCTAAGTTTAAGAAGAGAAAAACGTAAGTTAGTATTATGAGTAAACTTTTTGAAATGTGACTTATAAAAATAAAAAAGTAAGCCTTTCTTCCAGTTTAAGTATATAAGAATGTATTATGAATAAATTTAGAAAAGGGACCAAATACGAGAATTGAATGTAAATGTTGTTCAACATCACTACCTTTATTTTAAAATAAAAGAATCCTAAAATCTAACTTTTGCAATGGTTCACTGTAAAATTAAAAACTTCTTTCTACCTGCTGAAAATTATTTGGAGAATATAAATTAAGTTGTGGCTTATGGTCATTATAAATTAGACAAATCACAAATTGATGTCCTTGTCTCCTAATCTGATTAAAAATATAATTATTATTTCTGTTCTCTAGGTGTGGAATGTTAGGCCTAACATCTGGTATTTTAGAGCAAATATACAAAAAAGGAAACTATTTTTGTTACAACTTCTGGCAGCCTCTCATTGAAGCCATCTTTATTTAAACATACAAACTGGCTCATATACAAGGTCAAGAAAAAAAAATAACTTAAATCACATAACCTTATAGAGGGTGCAGAGTCCTATATGCACCCTCTATAGACAAGCGATAAATTAATTGAAGAGAGAACTTGCTGAAATGATTTATGGTAACTGAAGTGAAAAGCTGGCACTGTGCTGATGGAAGATTTATCCAACACTGACTTAAACATGAGCTGATATGACAGAGAACCCACCACTGAGGCATTAAGCCTGCACAGGTTTCACTCATATGATATTTAGAACATCTTACAATATCCACTACCTACTTGATGGTTTCACATTAGGTTAAAATATCGGGAAGGCTGATACCTCAAATTTTCCAGTTATTAGTATAGAATTCCCAGCTACAGGGGTTAACCCTAATAATCCTACATTTGTAAGATACCTAATAATAAACAATTCTTATCAAAAAATTGTTAATTTAAAAATTTACAGAAAATATTTTAAAATAAAAGAGGGATATAACCCACCTCATTTATCATTTCTATTTCTCTAAATGTCAATCTATCCAGCCAATCTACTTTCACCATGTGTCCTTGTCGATGAGCTTTGGTGAGCTGCAGAATAAATACAATGACGAGAATTTTAATATAGATCTAGTAGAAAGAAGGACCAAGAATGTCAGAATGGCAATGTCCGCTTCACATATGATACTTACCTATACACAAGAGAAACCATATGCAACTAGCAGGATAAGAAAGTTGGCAAGAGACAAATCATTATTTTTTTAAAGAAAAACAATTACATTTTTTTAAAAAGGTCCACAATTTGCCATATTTTGACATGATAAAGAATAATGAAGTTGTTCCTGAAATTATCTCCATGTTCTATATTTCTCATATTTTGACTATTACAAAAAGATGGAATTATAATAATAGTTTCATGAATGGGAAATAAACCAGTTTTTTCTTTCCAGCTTTCAATGTATCTAACCAACATGAATAAATGACAGTTACAGGTAATAAGGCATTTTTCTGGGTTTATACATTAATATTCTAAGGTTTAAGCTTACACATACGCATGTATGCTTTAATTTTAGGGAATGGTGATAAAAGACTTCAGTTTTCTAGAATAGCAGTTGGTAGAGTCCTGTGAGGTCTTATGTACCAATCTAACTTTAGTTTTATAAATTAAAAAATAATTCTTCAACTCTTTCAAATCCAAAGAGAATTCCAGGTAAGTTCTAAGGTCCTTAAATTAGAACCAGGTTTTGAATTAGAATGTGCAGTACTAAAAATCAACACCCTTCTCATTCCTTCTAAACAAATTGACAGTATAAAGCAAAACTGGACATGAAAGCTTTACATAGTAGCTTATCTATATCAGTTTCTTCCACTTCATTGTCCATATCATGACAGCATTCCTATAAGAACAGCAAACACTGCCATCAATTTTCTCTCTCTTGCAGACCTAAAAATCTTCACTATCAATCTTTTTTCTCTTCCTCAACTCATCACAACTATGTGGTCACACTATTTCAGAAATAAAAATACTAACGTCACACAAAAAGTCTGAAGTTCATTTTAATAAAAAAAAAAGTAATATCAATTTAGCTTTCTTCCAATAATTCCCTCTCACGTGAGGTAATTTCTATATGAAATTGTATGAAAAGTTATTAATAAGCTTAGCATAATTACAAAAAGCAGCAACTAAATACTGTGTTGGCTCCAGTGGAATAATACACAAATATGCTAGCAACATGGAAAGAGATCTAGAAATAGTCACAAGGAAACCAAAAGAAGACCAGGCAATGTGACCTACAGAAAAGAGTGATAGAGTAGAAGCTGGAAGACCAGAGTTCCAACCTTAATACTCCATTTTCAAACTATGTCCTTTCTGAACCCACATAAATAAAATCAAAGTATTAACGTCTATTCTTACTCTCAAAACTCAAATAAAATAACAGATGCAAAATACAACAGGTGGTATTATTTCATGCAGTCATTGGAAGCTTCTATTCTCACTCACTTCGCAATATGCTGCAAATTGGTTTTCCAAATAAATGAAAATATAAAAGGTCATTTTACACCCTTTGCTTGTACGAACGAAGTAACAATTAGTAATAAGAGTTTGTATACTTCCTAGAGGAATGGAGAAAAAAATAACATTTACTTACATGCCAAATTGTAGGCACTTTTTATAACCACACTATTTCATAGACAATTTTGACCCCTGTTTGCAGATGACTATCAACTACTACTATGAAGCGGCCAAGCTAGGGTTTAAATCCCGGTCTATATGATTCTAAAGCCTATACTCCTACCACCAGTCTCTGCTGTCCTCTCTACTGATGTACGATGACTTTTAAGTGAAACTCATTTCTGTCATTTCTTTAACATTAGTTTTGTATTCATGATGCAACAGATGATCCACTACTAATTTCCTATGAGCAAAGAATTGGCAATGGTAAATTAAGTTTAGATGAGGGAGAATGTGGTGGGAACTTTTTCCTCCTTTACTAAAACTATTCAGACAAATTAGAAATGTTCTAAAGCCATTTTCACTAGCTCGCGAATTTATGTTTGCTGCTAATACATATCATCTCCCATATAGCATATGATTAGCTTTCTAATTTGAATACCAAATATGACCGATTGCATAAGAGCCACTAAAGAATGTATGGACAGCATGCCAGTACTAAAATTGGTACAGTCACTATGAAAATAAGTTTAAATTATACTAGAGAAATTCACATTTGTGCACCATTATTTGCAGTACAGAAAAATTAGACACAAAAGAATGAAAATGTCCATCAACAGTAGGAACTGTTAAGTAAACTACACACACACTATGAAATACTATAATCGGAAAGAATGAGAAAAATCTGTATGCCTTCATAGGAAAGATATTGTTGACTGCAAAACTGATTGTGAAATTAAAGGTACCATTTATGCTATGGAAGTTGTTTGCATGTCTATCTCCTGTACCTGACTTTGAGATTGACAGCAAAAACTCTGTGTATCTGAGTTAATTTGATGATTTTCACAGATTCGAACAGTTACCACTCAAAATGTCTCCTAGCTGCCTGTCCTATTTACCTATTACTTCATAACAAACCACCCTAAAACTTAGTGGCTTAAAACAACATTCATTTTATTGTTTCTCTTTACTTTTTTGGCAAAATCATCTTCTTGAGAGACATTTATTCATTTTTTCTTGTAGTCTCACTCATTGGTAGTCATAATATTGTATTCATTGGGTGGTTGGAGCTGGAACATCCAAGCTGGCTTGACTCACATTTCTAACACCTTGGTGATAAAGGGTGGGCTTAGCTGGGATACCAGGGTGGTAGGGCCTCTCGTTCCCCACGTATTCTCAGTGCTGCTCCCTCTTCAAATGGTTTTTCAACTTGATCACTCCAACAGAATAGCTGGACTTCTCACATGATGGCTTAATGTTCCCAACATGTGAAGAAACCAAAGCTGTCACACTGTCTTGCCTAGAACAGATGCAGCGTCACTTCTGCTGCATTTCATCAGTTAAAATGAGCCACAGGGTAATATAGATATAATGTGGAAGAGTGTTACTATCAGAAAGCATATTTCATTGACTATCAGAAAGCACATTCATTTCATATTTCATTTCATTGAGTTAGTCTCCTAAGAGACTAGCTACCACAGTGCTTACTTATCAGAGAGTCCAAGCACATAGTACAATTAATTGTTCCATTGCAATGGAGCAGGTGTGTACAGTTTAGAGACGGCAAAGTCAGCTCTTGGCTGGACTTTAGGCAGCAGAAAAAGTCTAGAACTAGCTATCACAATTGCTAAATGATCCATCCTTGCCTTCCTCTTCAGAATAATCTCCTTCAACTCTCCAATAAATTCACCAAACTCCAGCTAACACAGTCTCTTCTGTTTCTTCAAACCATAAAGCCATTTACCTTTACTGCTTAATGCTGGTGAAATAGTTATTAATAATTACATTAATTTTTATTAATTTTATAAAACTATAAAGCACTATGTAAGCTGTAACAGCTATTCCAATTACTCCATAACCTATGTCACTTCATCTCTTATGGGTGCTGATAACAATGTAGATATACTTGAGAGGTTTTCATCAGTCCAAAGCAACTTCTAGTTATCCCCAATCCAGTAACTTCTATAGATACTAAAGACCAAAAATGAACAAAAACACAGGTGGCATAACAATTTATATTTCATTTTGGGTCTGAAATGTCAGTGATTTAGATCTTTCCAAAGAGAAAACATGCATTCTGTTACGCGGCAGGGTAAAAGTAGGGCAATCTGTTTCAATTACCCGTGAAGAAATAATCCTCACTAGGATGCCCATTCTAGGATGGGGACAAATCAAGAAATAGGAAAAAAAAAAAAAAAAAAAAAAAAAAATTCATTCTCTCTTTTTAAAGGAACACAGGTTTCTTACAGAATTCACAGGAAGTCACAAAGATTTTGAAGAAAAGTCCACTGTCTCACACACACACACACACACACACACAAAATGGCATAATTTAGCCCAACTTCTCCAAGAATTAAAGAGCAAGGAGTTTTAAAAGGTATTTAAATAAAAGAATCCACGAGATCCAAATAACAACATGCCTGGGAAACTTCTTGGAGTACTAATTCTGTATTGTCAGATTTAATAGAAGAACAAAAAGATGTGCTTGAGGAAGATGTCTCAGATTAGTAGGTGTCTAATAAAAGTATAAAGGACAGAGCCAAAAGTAGGCCAACTTGCTGCGCATTGTGTAAGAATAAGACCAGCAGGGAAACAAATTTCGGAGCAGATAGTGATCCTTGGTAATAGACAGACTTCCATGATCATTAGAACTCACAGTTCATTGCTCCATATTCTTCTCTGCTTTATTAGACAAAAAAGGTTCCTGAGTGCAAGAGCTATGAATGGTCACTAGAAGCTAGCATTTATTCATTCAATGCCAATTTATACTTATTGAAAGGCTTTCTATGTGAAAGGATGACAGACATAATGAAAAACAAATGTAAGTATACTCTGATATTCTACCCAAAGAGCTTTGGGGCTTCAGGGGAAGAGGTGGCAGCTGGAGAGAGAGAAAAAAAAGAAAGATTCCTGCCCTTGGTCACTCTTCCCTAATCCTTATACACTCTCAATACAAATATATGTAACTTTCTGGCTATTAAGTAACAAACTTCCATCATGTCCTCTGTCCTTGAGATGAGTATAGAATGTTGAACAAAAGAAGCAAGTTCTCTGCCCTAACAGAACATCAAGGTGGAAATAAGTGAGTCATTCAATATAGTAAGTACTTAAAAGTGTAACTATAAATTGGAACAGTGATATGAAAGTAGTACCTTATGACTGATAACTTGGAAATACAGGATATGAGCAAATCAAGTAAGTTGTCTAAAAACAACTTAAAAATATAATCCTCACCTTCCTTTTCAAATCAACAGAAAATGAACCAAGAATTTCAAACATTTTTAATATCCAACCATAGAAGACTGCTGAAATCAATTATGACTTATCCACACTATGCAAAACCCTCCAGCCTTTACAAATTATGTGGTAGAAGTATCTTAAATAGCCTGGAACAATTTTGAGACACCATTAAATGTAA